TGCAGTTGGCAAGGTGTGCAAACAGTATGCATAGCCACAATGTTTACAATGCAGGATCTGTCTGATGCCAGTTACGCATCCACTCTAGTTCGGGGTGTCTATGTGTCTCTCTCTTTGCGTCTTGGTGTGTATTCTTTATCTGTCGCTGTCGCCGCCAGATCTCCCAACTTCATGAACCAAACTCCCCTGTAGAGGCCGGTTCTCGACAATTCTTCTCATTTTCTGAGTTGTACCCCATCAGGAAATAAAAGTCCCCAAAGCTTTACTCCATTCATGTCATCATGGTTGTATTTTGAGTGCCTTCCAACTTAAGAGGCTCATCTTCCAGCAGTATATCTGACAATGTTCTGCTGCTATTAATAGGTTTCCAGTGGCTAAGCATTTACAAGTAGTCCACGTGTGCTTCCTTGTCTGGTTTAGTCTGGAAGTTCAGCTGAAACTTGTCCACCAAGGTGACCCTGCTGGTATTCAAAATACCGGTAGTATAGCTTCTTGGATCACAGCAACACACAAGTCACCACAGTATAACAAACTGACAGACGAGTGGTGGATCTAAAGCTTACCAAATCCAAAACTGAACTCTTCATTTCTCTCTCATGCTACTCAAAAATTTGCATTTCTTCTGAAGGTTTTCGCTATCTCCAGTAAGTGATGTGTCCATGAAAATAGCTCAACCAAAAATCAGTGAGTTACTCTTCAGCCCTACAACTCCTGTTTTCCTATCAGGTACTATTATCACCATATCATTTCTCTGTCTAATATATATCAAGTCTCTCCACTCCACACAATCTCCAGTGCTGCTGGTCTAGCCTAACCAATCTTTAATTCTGCCAAGTAGGTTGCAGTAGCAATTGTTCCGCCTTTCTTATTTGCCGTCAAGCAACTGCCACACAGAAGCTAGATTGTTGTTTTAAAGGTATAAATTAGAACCAGGCAAGTCTTCTGCTGCAACTTCAGTGGCTTTCCCTAACTTTCCCACAAATATATCTCTTTTTTCTCAAAACCATTCTCATGTCAATCTGTTTTTTGGTTCACATGCTCCTTATACTTCTAATTTGTTTGCTTCTTTTTATTTTTCAAAGTTGTCAGTCTTTCCTGCTTCATGGATTTTGTATCCTAAGGAGCTCTGGTAGCGTAGTGGTTACAAATTGGGCTGCGAACCGCAAGGTCAGCAGTTCGAAACTATCAGCCGCTCTGCGGGAGAAAGATGAGGCTTTCTGTTCCTGTAAAGATTTACAACCCTGTACAGGGTTGCTATGGGTCGGAACCGACTTGACGGCACTTAACAACAACAACAACAACCTGTAATGGAGTCTTGGTGTGGTACTGTAGGATAAGCACTGGACCACATGGTCAGTTTGAACTGCAAGGTCAGCAGTTCAAACTCACCAGTCACTCCTTGGAAACCCTATACAGGGTTGCTATGAGTTGTAATTGACTCGACAGCATTTAACAACAACCTGTAATGTTATTAATGGATGTTTACAGCTGTTTCCCCTCATTTTGAATTATGCCCCATCAGCAAGTTTTCCTCCATACCCGTCATCATGGTCAACTCTACTCTGAGGAGACAGCTCTTCCCCAGTTATATTCTGAGCGCCTTCCAGCCTTAGGGTCTTATTTTTTGGCAATGCATCTGACATTATTCTGGTGATCTTCATCATGTTTCAATAATCAATATTCTGGTGCTATCTGACAGTGTTCGGCTGTTATTCATAAAGTTCTCAGTGACTAAATATTCCGAAGTAGTCTGTCTCTCCTTCTTCCTAGTCTGTCTTAGTCTGGAAGCTCATCTGAAACCTGTCCACTATGGGTGATCCTGCTGGTATTTAAAATGCCATTGGCATAGCTTTCAGAATCACAGCAACTCACATGTCACTATCAGGAGGGACCAGTCCATGAGGAAGGACATTATGCTTGGTAAAACGGAAGAGTCCGTCAAAAAGAGGAAGACCACCAATGAGATGGATTGTTCGAAGAGAGGCAACAAAAATGGGCTCAAGCACAGGACCAGACAAGTGTTTTGTTCTGTTGTATCTAAGGTTTCTGAGTTGGTACCGACTTGGCACCTATCAACACCACCACCTGCAATATTCATTCTCCTAACTCTCTGCTTGACTATCTCATACTCATATATGTCACATTTTCACTTAAAATATGCATGTTTGTTTATTATCTGTTTCTTTAATTCAAGTTCCATGTTAGCAGGTACCATGTCTGTTATTTACGTTACTATATATCCAAACTCTAAAACTGAACCTACATCATAGCTGTTGTTGTTAAAGTGCTGTTGAGTCAGTTCCAACCCATAGCGACTCTGTATAGGGTATCTGAGGAGTGGCCAGTGAACTTGAACTGCCAACCTTGCGGTTCAAATTGACTTTGTAGTCCAGTGCATTAATCCATAGCACCATACCAGGACTCCATACCATAATGGTATTGTTGGTGGTGGTATGCCGTGGAGTTGTTTTTAACTCATAGCTATCCTGCATGGGGTTTCCAAGGCTGTAAATCTACGGGAGCAGAAAGTTCAGCTTTTTCCCATGGAATGACTGGTAGTTTCGAATTGCGGACCTTGAGGTTAGCAACCCAACTGTTGCCACTATGCTACCAGAGCTCCTTCCATACCATTGTTGTTGTTGTTAAGTGCTGTCAAGTCAATCCCAACCCATAGTGACCCTGTATAGGGTTTCCGAGGTGCAAGCTGGTGAGCTTGAACCACCGACCTTGCAGTTCAAATGGCTTTGCAGTCTGGCGCATTAACCCACAACGTCATACCAGGACTCCATACCATAAAAGATTCCTTCAAAGTATGACTCCTGTGACAACCTACTTTCTATACATGTATCTCATCATTTTCTCTTGAATGTTTTATGATGATTTATCATTTTTGTGTTTTCAAAATGTATATTCTTGAAACAAAATATACATTTTGTATACTTGTGTTTTCAAAATGTATATTTCGTATTCTTTTCACTATATATTCCTAGCATGGTGGTGATGTGTTAAGTGCTACTGAGCTACCTTTATAGGGTTTCTGAGGCTCTAAACCTCTGGTAGTGTAGTGGTTACGAATTGGGCTGTGAACCTCATTGTCAGCGGTTCAAAATTACCAGTTGTTACCCGGGAGAAAGATGAGGCTTTCTGCTCCCGTAAAGATTTACAGCCTTGGAAACCCAGTACAGGGTCGCTATGAGTAGGAACCAACTCCACGGCACTTAGCAACAACAACAACAAACCTCTGCAGCAGCAGAAAGCACCATATTTCTCCCATATAGTGACTAATACAGTTGAACTGTCAGCTGTGGTTCTCAGTCATTGGATTTATCCTATAACACAACTGTGCTCCCTCCTAGTACAGTGCATATACATTGCTATAGTAATTTAGTGTTAATAGTTTATGTAATAGTTTTTCATTAAGAAAAAGTTGAACAACTCTTATAGAGGATGATAAACAAAATGAGGAAGGCAAGGAAAGACACTGGGAAAATAGCAAAAGTTAAAGGCAACAGAGGTAAATACTGTTAAATACACAATCCTGCAATGAGTTTTCAGTGAGTAGATGCACAAATACAAACAGAACAGACACTCTAGCTGAACAGGTGTGGAAACGACAGTGGGTGTATACCCATATATATATATATATATTTGACAGAGACTATCTGTACATGATTATTTACATTTGTTACAAATGTATCTATGAATGTGGTACAGAATACAGATGGAAAAGTTATAAAAACTTCTGAGACATAAAGAAACACCTAGAGGGAATGAGTCACTGTGTCTGGAGGCTCAGAACCACAGTCTGAGGGAACATTAAGGTCAATTGGCATACCATAGTCCATAAAGACAATGTTCTAAATCCCACTTGGGTGAGTAGCAAATGAAGTCTTAAAAGGCCATGAGCAGCCATCTAAGGTGCAACTATTGGTCTCTCAGTGTGCAGAGGAAAGAAAAGGGATGAAATTGAAGACACGTAGAAACTATTAGTCCAATGGACTAATGAACTATGCTAAAATCAGTCTCTCCAACTCTTAAGACTAGACAAACTAGATGGTTCCCAGCTACCATTACCAACTGTTCTGAAAGGGATCACATTAGAAGATCCTGGACGGAGTGGAAGAAAAATGTGAAACAAAATTCAAAATCATAACAATTACTAAACTTACTGTTCATTACAGTGACTGGTGGAACCTCTGAGACTATGGCCTGTAGTCACTCTTCAGGTTTGGAAATGAACTTACCCACGTGACTCAATTTACAACCAACATAGCTTTATACCAGAGGAATAAATGTTTCTGTACCTGGTAATCCAGTTTTGTTTGCAGAGGTCTTTGTTCCACTCTGAAGAGCATTACTTCCAGGAGACAAAGTCTCAGCAGGATATGTAGTCCCTAAAGTCTCCAGCTCTCCTCGGTTTGAAGAAAACACCAAGTCTAAGGATGGCAGTTTTAGCATGCATTCCACTCTAGATACTGGCAAACAGCTAAACTTGATCTGTGATGGCTAAAAACAAAACAAGAGGCAATTTAAAAAAAAGAGAGGTTGGGGGGAGCTATTCTAAAGAACTGGATGGCTAAAAATGTATCAGATTAAAAAGTTAAAATTAATTTCCATTTCAGTTCACACATATAAAATTTTTACCATGTTTACTTGAGAAGAGTGTTTTGTGTTTAATGTCCTAGTTTTTTCAAACAGACAGATGAAACATGAACCATAATGTATTAACACAACGGTATTTTTGAGAAGTCATTTCTCCATGATAAATATTTAGATATTTACATATTTTGCTTTTGTTAAGTGCTATCCAATCAGTTTTAACTCAGCAACCCTGTATAGAGTTTTCAATGAGAGGCTGGTGGATTTACACCACCAACCTTGTGGGTATGAGTCCAGTGCTTATCCTACAGAACCACACCTGGATATTCTAGAACTTTAAATGTTTATAATAACACTTGTACATAACATATTCTTTAAAAGTAGGTAATTTCCCTTATATCCAACTGAAAAACTATGTTCTGATAATGACATTCACCACCCAGTTCTCATCAATTGTTTTCTGCATGCTTTTGAAAACACTAGAAGGCCAGACTAAAGTTCTCTTGGCTAACTTGTTGCTGTAGAAAATATTTGGAATAATTGATCATTAATGACTCTTTCATTTTAGAGATTCTAAAATTTAAATTAAGGGTAAATTAAGCCCAGAAGTTTGGATACAAGTTCTGATCAAATTCTACCTAATAAATGGCATCAACTAGACTCTGTTATGTGCTCCCAAAGGTCTCCCAAGCAAACATCAGTCTCCATGACTGAGACCAGAAACTAGATGGTGCCAAGCTACCACGACCAATTGCTCTGCAAGGGATCCTTGACAAAGTGGGAGAAAACGTGGAACTAAACTGAAAACCATAAAAAGACCTGGCTTATTGGTCAGAGAGAGACTGGCAGAACCCGAAGATTATAACCTTTGGTCATTTTTCAGCTCTGGAACTAAACTCACCCCAGTGGATCATTTTCAGCCAAGCAATAGATAGGTACATAGATTGTGACAACAACACTAGTGAGGTACACACACCACAGAGTGGTCAACTAAATGAGATAAAAAATTAAAAAAAAAAAAAGGCAGATTTACATACCAAAGGAAAAAACTTCAGACAGGCTGGGAAAGAAGGAATAATGGAACTATGAACTAGAGGGAGGACGTGGGATAGGTGATGCTACGTTAAGGGGACGACTATGATTGAGATGGACTGAAGTGTGTGATTTACTGAATGTAAAACTGACTATCTACTCTGTAAACCTTCACTCCATGCACAATAAAAAGTTCTAAAAATTATACATGTCTTAAGTATAAATTTAACAAAGGGAGTATTGTGATACCTTAATTGCATAATTTTTATATCTGATAATTTAGCTTCTATAATTTTTATACCTACCCAAACAGATTACAATGGCAAAAATGAAGGGACCAAACAGCAAATTATTTTTTAAAGAGGTCTATGCATTTTTCTTTTCACCACCAAAGTGTGAGATCTAAATTTTAAAAACTCAAATCTCTATAAAACTTCTCAACAGAACAGTAAACATATTCATACATTTTACATTTACTTTCCAGAAGTTCAGGCAACCTCTAAGCCATTATAATTATTCTAAAGGGACATGTATCTTTAAAAAGAAACACTGTTGAAAATGTTCCAATAATTTTTTTTTTCTTTAAATTAAAAAGAACTAGATGAGTGTATTACCTGAACTCGCACATAAACCACAACATCTACAGGGAAGGAAGAGTAAGCAGATGTTGAAGATGATACTAATGATGTTGTTGATTCTTCCATAGGCTCTGGTATTTCAAAATGGCTCATATCTTCATCTTGTGAGCTGACAGCTGTTAAAATATTTAAAGTTTTATTGTTAGGACAAGGGGAAACTATTGTAATATCTTTTTCTCTCATGTTATTACCAAGATCAGGGGTATGGACACCCAGGTACATTTTCTTTTTTATCCTAATACTCCACACATCTTTTCCTATTCAGATTTCTTGCTTATTTCCCCAAACTCAGATTCCCCTGCTGCAGTGCCTCACACTGGAATCCTGTGGTGCTGTAGGATAAGCACTGGACCACAAGGTTTTTAGCAAGGTCACTGGTTGAAGCCCACCAGCCATTCCTCGAAACCCCATACTCGACTCCCTATGAGTCTTGGTATGGCACTGAGGGTAACTGCGCTGGACTGTAAAGTCTGTTGGAACTGCAAGGTCCACGGTTCAAGCTTACCAGCCACTCCTCAGAAACCCTATACAGGGTCCCTGCTATGGGTGGACCTACTTGACAGCACTTAACAACAATGAATCCACTCAATGGCAATTAACAACAGCAACATTCCACACACTTAAAAAGAAAATAGTGGTCACACCCTTGTCCTTAAGGAGATTCCTGTTCAAGAGAAATGCTAATGTAAGAACCTAAGGAAATCAGGGAAATGAGGACATCTTTTAAAGAAAATTTAGTCATGAACCACTCATTAAATATGTAACACTTGCTTTTCCCAATATCATATGGGTTCCAAATCTTACTCCCCATTTAGGTACTTCTGTTATGCAATGCCTCAGTCTTGTAGTATATTTTTTCCAACCTAAGGTCACACCTATGATGTGTTGTTGTTAAATACCGTGGAGTTGGTTCCGGCTCATAGTGACCCTGCATAGGGTTTCCGAGGCTACAAATCTTTACGGGAGCAGAAAGCCTAATCTTTCTCCCATGGAACAGCTGCTAGTTTCGAACTGCCAACCTTAAGGTTAGCAGCCCTATTTGTAACCACTACGCTAAGTAGCTCCTTACATCTATGACAGGTTAACAGATATAGCACAATGCTAGGAAGCAGAAGATGCTAATTTTGTTATTATTTAATTGTGCATACAATTTCACAGGGACTTACTTTACTTATTCATCAATAAGGACTAGACAATCTCTTGAAGTCTTGGTGTGGTGCTGCAGGATAATGCACTGGGCCACAAGGTCAGTTTGAGCTGCAATGTCGGTGGTTCAGACTCAGCAGCTGCTCCTTGGAAACCCTATCCAGGGTCACTGTAAGTCAAAACTGACTTGGCACTCAACAACAACAACAGGACGGTCTCTCAGTTATTTTTCAGTTCTATAATTACTTTATACTTATCATTGGATATATTATGTAAAAGTGTCATAAATTGTTGTTGTTAAGTGCCATCGAGTCGGTTCCGACCTACAGCGACCCAATATAGGGTTTCCAAGGAGCAGCTGGTGAGCTTGAACTGTCAACCTTGCAGTTTAAATGGCTTTGTAGTCTGGCGCATTAACCCATAATTTTTTTTTTTTAAGTACAGGGACCCAAGATCCATGAGATGAAGGAGTAAGTATATAAGGAAGATGCTTACCTGTATAATTTCTTTCAATTGGTGTAATTGGAATAGTTTCCAATGCTTTTTCCAGAAAGTCTAATAGGCAGGGACTAATGACCATTTCTTCTGGCAATGACTGAAGTGCTACCCAGGCATATAACTTGGCTAACTTTACTCCTCCACTTCCTTTTCCTTTGGCTAGAACATTGGTAAATGCGAATTTAGTAAAACGGTCCCAATAAAATATAACAAGATACAGTTTTGTGAGAAATTAGAAATAAAAGACTTTAATCAGCTGAAGCACATGATATTTAAGACCATACAAGAAAGCAATAAAAATAGGTTGAAAGAAATGAAATATTAATGTTAGTGTACAAAGATGACTAATGATGTTTAATATAATACTTATCCCTATTTGCTCTAGTTCACAAAGTTTGGTCCAATTTTTCAACTTTAGTTGAACAGTATTAGTTTTGTTTTGTTTTGTTCTGTTGTTTTCCTACTTCAGAAGTAAGATTAGAGTACTTTGGCTAATAATTTTAGTGGCAAATGAGGAAAGTCATTATTTTCAGTCCTATGTCCTTGCTGATAATTTATAATTATTCCCTACCTCAGTTGTCATCTCTCCTTGTACCTATTTTTCATTTCAGTAGAAAGAGTAAAATAGCTAAAACTTAGCTAACTTTGGCATATGTTTCCAACTTCAACATTTACATTAGTTGTGTAAACCTACAAAAAGACATTCAACTTCTGTGTCTTATCTCTCCTTGTTTATACAACAGGGATAATATTTATCCTGTATTAAATGGACACAGATAAGCCATATCAATTGAAAAGTAACACAAAAAATACAAAAGGGCTTCAAAAAGTTCTTGGAAAATGAAATGAAAATGGAATTTTTTGATGAACTTTTTGAAGCTTCCTCATATTAAGCATTATTATACAATTAGCATTAAAAAAATCTATGTATCTAGTTATACCTTCCAAATAAACTTTTTCAAATAATTCTTGCCCACCCTGACATGTCCTCTTTAGCAATTCTACTGAACGTTTAATGTATTAATATTATGCCATGTGGCAGCCATCTCAATTTGGCTTCCAATGATCCTTGCCTTCTGGTACTCATGCCCTTGTGTGGTTCTCTTCCACAGTAAATAAGGCTGACCTGTGTTACCAGTAAGATAATGTGGAAGTGGTAATATGTGACTTTGGAGACTACATCATAAAAGAAATTGCAGCTCTGTCTTGTTCATTTTTGGGTGACTTCCTCTGAGGGAAGTCAGGTGCCATATCACAAGAATATCCATGCAGCCTTGTAGAAAGCTCCATGTGGGGAGAAACTGAGGTAGCAGCTTGTCAATTATATGCATGGGACACGCTAGAAGCAATTTCTAACCCCTGTCAAGTGCTAGCATGCCTGCAAATCCTAGCCAACACTTTGACTGCAACCTCATGAAAAAGTCCAATTCAACCAGCCAAACTGCTCCTGAATTTCTGATATACAAAAACTATGTTTGTGGTTAGACGTCACTTAGTTATGAAGGAATATGTTATGCAGAAACAGATAATACAGAGAAATAGTTAAACCCAGTGTACTCTATCTTGAAAGTGTTTAGGTTTGATATCACCATCTAGGTCACAAACTCCCCAATTTGAACTGTGTAAAAATTGTTGTTGTTGTTGTAATGTGCCGTGGAGTTGGTCCTGACTCATAGCGACCCTGTATAGGGTTTCCGAGGCTGTAAATCTTTACGGGAGCAGAAAGCCTCATCTTTCTCCCACAGAACAGCTGGCAGTTTCGAACTGCTGACCCTGAGGTCCACAGCCCAATTCATAACCACTAGGCGTAGTTAATTAAGTAAACTATTTAGTATATTGTTTATGTTAACGTCTGATATTCTAAAATGATAGCAATTTGAAAAATAACCCCAAAATAACCAAAAACAACCCAAAATTAAATAACCCAGAGTCTTCCATATGACTTTTGCAGTCATTATTAACAAATCACTGTCTTTTTTAACATTTAAATTTCAAAGAAACTTAGCAATAGAGCAAGTAGGTGGTGACTAAAAATTACATTACAAAAAAAACAAAAACAAAAAGTATATTTTCCTTAAATACCTGAGGGAATAGGTGGGGGTTGGGGAGGTAGTAAGGTGTTAGTCTTGCTGTGGACAGTGCAAGGTAAAGGAGGAGAAGGAGGAGATGTTGCACTACTATCTTTCATACCATACAGCTTGGATTCTTTAGAGAGTGTTCTTGGCAAGGAAGATCCTCTTGATGCATTAGGTGATTCAGTCTTTAGAGTCTTAGAATTGTAATGTAACTGTATTAAAACAAATTTTAAAATTAAAATAAATTTTAAAATTAAAATGATGCAGATGAAAAAAAAATGACATCGGTCAATGTGACAGAAAGAATATTGGTGCAAGAGTCAGCAGACCTAGTTCTAGATCTTTTCAGTTGGTTTTGTAATTCTTGCAAATTTCTTTTCTTTCATTTTCAAAATTAAAAGTTAATTCCAGATAATCTTTCCAGTTCTTTCCATTTTAAAAATCTAGGATCCTATAATTCCACAATTTAAAAAACGCTGCTTAATTAAGTTAAACTAGACAAGATTGAATGCATATGTTACTAATAAATATCAACGTGCAAGGAGCCCTGTGGGTTACAGCGTTGGAATGACAACTGCAAGGTAGTCAGTTCAAACCTACCAGCCTCTCTGCGGGAGAAAAATGAGGCTGTGTGCCCCAATAACAATTCACAATTGTGGAAATCCTAAGAATATCAACGTATAAAAGGAAAAAACATCCAGATGGCTTCCTCTAAAACCTAAGAAATGTCAATACCTGGTATGAAGAAGAAGGGGTAGAGTAGGAACATCTGCAACTATATATATGGTCAGACCCTTGAATTATCTGTTATTTTTTAACTTCTTTCTGCCAAACCTTCATTGAAAAAGCAGTATAAGAAAAATGACAACCTGCAATTTGGATATTCTTATGTTAAGAATATGACTATATTAGAGAAAAATGTCAGAAAGTCTAATTTTTAATGTAATGAGCAAATAAAGACTATAGATGACAAAATAAATAATGCTGTTGATAATCAAATCCCATATCCTGAAAAAAAAAAAAAGTAATTAATTTATTACCTTTACATCAACTCCAGGAATGTAAAATACGGTTGTTTCCAAGTCACTAGGCTTTGTCTGCAGTGATGAAGGTACTTTTTTACCAGTCATTAAATGGGTGGTAGAAGCATAATTAGTTTGAAACTTCTTCTTTTTAGAAGGAGAATCGTGATCTAAGCTTCTAGAACTTCTATCGTAACTCCTATAAACAGAAAAATATTTTGTCATTTTAAAAAAAGGAAATTTTTACCTCTTTTCCTTAAAAGAAAACTTATTTGTATAGTAAACAGAATTATAGTCCTTCACTGATGAAGTTGAAGTAAAGATTATCACTGTTCCTAGCTAATAGGGTTAATGCCTTGCACTAATGTTGCAATCTGTAACTAAGAAAGGGAGCTTCAAAAGTTTGTGGAAAAATTCTATTACCTTTTAACTTTTCCATGAACTGTTTTGAAGCCCTCTTGTATAGGCCCTCTCACATAGCCCTCTAATATAGTTTGAGGACTAAGGAGCTCCTGACCCAAATCATGGTGTTTTCACAGTTGCCTCATATGCATGTGAAAGTTGGACAATGAATAAGAAAGACCATAGAAGAATTTATGATTTCAGTTTATGGTGTTGGAGAAGAACAAACAAATATGTGTTGGAAGTACAGCCATAATGCTCCTTAGAAGGCAGGATGATGAGATTTCGTTTCTCATACTTCAGACACATTATCAGGAAGGACTAGTCCTTGTAGAAGGACATCATGTTTGGTAAGGTGGAGAGTCAATAAAAAAGAGAGAGATCCCCCAATGATAAGGCTGACACAGTGTCAGTAACAATGGGCTCAAGAGTAACAATTGGGAGGATGGCACAGGACTGGGCAGTGCTTTGTTCTGTTGTCGATGAGTCGGTGTCAACTTGGGGCACTAAACAATGTATACAGGTGTTGCTAAGTGCCATCAAGTCAGTTCTGGCTCATAGTGACCCTGTATAAAGTTTCCAAGGAGCGGACGGTGAGTTTGAACCACCAACCTTGTGGTTAACAGTCTGGTGCTTATCCTTCAGTGCCATACCAGTGTCATACCAAGTCATAATGTGCTACAGTAGGACTCCTTGATTGTTTCACATGAATAGTTCAACATTATTAGGTTGAACCTAATAGCAGTAATTTATTATAGTTTATGATTATTATATTCTAACTGCAAGGTCGCTTTGAACCGCAGTTCAAACCCACCTGCCACTCTTTGGAAACCCTATGTTGTTGTTAAGTACCATGGAGTCGGTTCCAACTCATAGCGACCCTGTACAGGGTTTCCTAGGCTGTAAATCTTTATGGGAGTAGAACGCCTCATCTTTCTCCCACAGAACCTCTGGTAGTTTCGAACTGCTGACCTTGAGGTTGGCAGCCTAACTCGTAACCACTACGCTACCAGAGCTCCTTTGGAAACCCTTATAAAGGGTTGCTATGACTTGGAACTGACTTGATGGCACTTAACAACAATGGTAAACTGTTGTTGTTGTTGTGAAGTGCCATCAAGTTGATTCCAACCCATAGCGACCCTATATAGGGTTTCTGAAGAGCAGCTGGTGAGCTTGAACTACCGACCTTGCAGTTTAAACAGCTTTGCAGTCTAGTGCATTAACCCACAGCACCACACCAGGACTCCTAACATCCTTTTTATAATTTTTGCATTTATGAGTGGTTTTTAACTTAGTAAACAGTACGTTTTTAATCTACTCTCTCATTTTATAAGCACCACATACAAAAAGATCATTTAAATAATCTTTAATTATGGAAAATTTCAAAATATACAAAATAAACAGAAAGGTATAATGAACCCATGTACCTACCTTTAATAATTGCCAACATTCTGCCATTTTTGTTTTATTTATATTCCTATCCATCTCACTCCCACCCATCTAATCAATTATTATTTTTAACTGTTCTTTTTTGGACGAACAAAGAGAAGCAAAATGAATTTAAAGAACGATTAATCTCATGTTAAATCTGGTTATTTCACCATCTAGCTAACAATGAAAGCAAACGATAAAGCTGTAGTTTGCTCCTGAACAGCATTCCAGAGTACTGAAGACTTCCAGTTGAGGCTGTTCCCAATCTTCCTTATTTCTCTATAAACTTACTAAAACTCAATAGTCGTGATACCTGTTAGTACTGTACGTTTTATAAAATGAAATCAATATTAGCTAAATTTTATGAATTGGGCTGTGAACCGCAAGGTCAGCAGTTCGAAACTACCAGCTGCTCCACGGGAGAAAAATGAGGCTTTCTGCTCCTGTAAAGATTTATAGTCGTGGAAACCCTGTTCAGGGTAACTATGGGTCAGAACTGACTCAACGGCACTTAACAACAACAACAACAAATTGATTAAACTCTAAATAACTATTTACTTATAAATAAAATCTAAATAATTTTAATATTAGTTGAGAAACTCAAGTCAAAGGAACATTTTAAAGACATAACAATTTTAGTTAACAAATTTGCCAGACTCTAAAATTAGACCTACAGTTCTAGATGTCAGAAAACGTTATATGCTTATTTCTAAAAACTGTATACTGCAAAAAACCATCCAACTGCAAAAAACCATCCAACCATTTCAGTTATAGTTAGATCCAATAATCTGCATTTGGGACCTGAGGAAAAGTATTTATTGTAACTCAGTGATATCTGACTAGTATCTCCAACAGATGAATTATTCTTTTTCAACTTATATCTTACCTTCTCAAGCTTATATCATCATGTTCTTGTAGGAGAGTGGTTGGGTGGAGTACACATTTCCCACTATCAATTTCAACCCGTATATCAAGTTCAAAGTCAATATTTCTCTCTGTAGTTGTGCCACTGAGACTCCGGTTGACCGGTGTTGTAGGCCAGCGTTCGGTAAATAGCTGATGAACAGCAGCAAAACCTGTTGCTTTTTTACGAGATGTATGACTACAATAAAACAGTAAGAGTTTTAAACAACTCATTTTCATTTACTTTATAGTGTATAGTAGTCTGTAAATAATTATTGCTTTATGAACTCACACAAATTATCTGCCTTGTTATTGTCAGTGTACTGTTGAGTCGATTCTGACTCAATGACTGCAGTTTCGGAGGAGTAGCTGTCATCAACATTGCAGCTAGCTGTCCATTTTGTTCAGCAGTTTTATACTGAGTAATTGTTACATAACAAGAAATACATTAGGTGCTGAACACAATCACAATCACTGCTTTAAAGTGTCTGAATATCAGTAAATGAACTACATAGTTTAATTTTGAAGGAGCTTTCACTTCTCAAATTGTAAAGTTTAAATGATACTTTCCAGATTTTATTAGAAGAACAGTGAGTGAAAGAAAGAAAAATAATACCATATTGAGCTAAATTTCATTAATAAACCATGAATATGGTTCTTAATCTTACTAAGGCTAGGCACATTAAGACCATTTTCTACAACTATTAAGGTATTTGTAATAATTTAGGCTTAGTTCTATATTCTGAAAACTACCAAAGATCATAAAACAAAAAAGTTACTCACGAGGGTTTTCTGTAAATATAAAATCTTTCTCTTTCATGGTCTTCTTCCTTTTCATCTTTCTCAGAATCTTCACTGGTAGAAGACAAACTATCATCTCGTCGACTCTCTTCCGGTTGGAAAGGAATGCTTGGTGAAAAGCCTCCTGGAGTTTTGGGAGAGCTGAACACAGAACATGATCCTTCACTATTATTAGATGAATAATGAGATGGGCCATCAATGGTTACTGACAAAAGGTCCAATTCCGTCTCTTCAGGAAACTGATTGTAAAAAAGGAAAAAACAAAATCATTCAGGTTCATATTACAAGTTCTTTCTCAATGAAAAAAAATGTATCTATCTGTCTCTCTCTCTCTCTCTCTCTATCTATCTATCTATCTATATGTTTATCTATCTATCTACAGAGAGAGTAACATTTTTAAATGCTCTTGAGTTACATTTCCTCACTTTGAACTGAAAGAAAGGTCAGAGTTTGGAGCACACACAATGGCTCACCAAGGAAGGAAGCAGAATGTCAAACCACAGAAAGTCACACCACTGACAATAAAAATCAGAGTGAACTTTTACTTTAGATACACAGCTATTAATTAGTGCACATTACAATTCTTTAAAGTAGAATTTAAACATGCTGTGAAAACAAAGAAGATAATGGGATTAATTGTAAAGTCAAAATGGCAAGAGTAATTAGTGATCAAAAACATGCATTGTCAGTAGAGTGCATTACCATCTCATGATGTTTGTGGATATAAAAACAACCCCTAATGGGATGAGGAGCTCTGGCAGCGTAGTGGTTACGAATCGGGCTGCTAACCTCAAGGTTAGCAGTTCGAAATTACCAGCGGTTCCGTGGGAGAAGGATGAGGCGTTCTGCTCCTGTAAAGATTTACAGCCCAGAAACCCTGTGCAGGGTTACTAGGAGTCAGAACCGACTCCGTGGTACTGAACAACAACAATGGGATGAAGTTATTAAGTGCCATCTAGTCGGTTCTGACTCACAATGACTCTGTGTAGAGTTTTCAAGGAAAAGCTGGTGGGTCTGAACTGCTAACCTTGCAGTTAACCTTATAGTTAGCAGTCATAATGCTTATCATACTGTTTCTCCAGGACTCCAACGGGGTGAAGAGAGATGTATAAATAGTTGAGTAATGTATCAAGCAATCAAACAAAAACGTTGCATTTTATGGCAAACAGAATTTAAACACTTTGTCACTAAGGATTGTACTGGGAGATCTCTGTATTTAAATAGGTCAAAAAAGAGCAAAACTTCCTATGACTTAATTTCTATTTCCAATTCCACAGGGTTGGTTAATATTGTTTGAGAATGTTATAACTATTTGTAAAGTTTAATGTGCCAGGTAATGCAATTCTTTAAAACTACTGGATGCTATTACTGGACACATAGTGATAACCTGCAATCTAAATGCCAAACATTGCATAATCTAGCTGTTCTTTACTTTATATATGTGCTACTGAGTAAATGTGAACATAAAATATTATTTTTCAGAACACCTTCAATTTTTTAAAACATGTAAGAGTTTATATAGATAAATGATCTTTTTGTAAATTTATGGTTTCTATATACCATTATTTTAAAGCAGGGTACACTGCTATTTAAAAATAAGACTCGAATAAATCCAAATAGTAAGAATTACATAGCTAGTTAAATCCACTGAAACCAATTAACTTGGTTCATAGTAAGTTCTTTACAAAAATGATGTTTGTCATGTTCACTATATATTTTAAGAGTTCCAAAGGAAAATTCAGTTTGACTAAATTCAGTGTTTTGTTCTGACGTACATAAGGCTGCCATGAGTCAGTACTGACTCGATGGCACCTAACAACAACAAAACAACAGGATATATATAGAGATTCTAGCTTAAGAGAGTTGGGTAAGGGAAACAAAATATATGTGAAATAAGTGCCAGTTTGCGTTTTTCTAAAGTAACCTACAGAAAAATTCTACACAAAGACAAAGGCATATAACATATATCTAACATTTATAGATATATGTTATATGCCTTTATTTCGAGTCAATTCCGACTCATAGCGACCCGTGGAACAGCTGGTAGTTTCAAACTGCTGTCTCTGAAGTTAGCAGCCCGATTCATAACCACTATGCTACCAGAACTCCTAAATTCATTTTTACTTTTATAACTTATATTTAGGGAAAATATTTACTTTATCAAGAATGTTTATTCAATTTGTGAGTGATTAGGGTAGCACATTTTCCACACTATTTTGACTAAAATAATTTTTTAATGGCTCTTTAATTCATGTTCTTTTGTACCAGTGACTCAGAAGAAACGATGTTGTTGTTATTAAATGCTGTGATGTCGGTTCTTAATCATAGTAACCCTATATAGGGTTTCCAAGTAGTGGCTGGTGGGTTTGAACCACTGACTTTGTGGCTCAAACTGACCTTGTGGTCCAGTGCTTATTCTATCGCCCACACCAGGACTCCAAAGATATAATATTCAATGATTAATGTGTTGTTCTGGGTTGGATGTGATACTAGTTTCAACTATTCAGTAAGCTTAGTTGTTTAAGGAAAAGTTCATTTTGCAATTGAATGTAGTGAAAAAGACTCATAGGGATTCAGTAAGCAACTATAGTAAAGTTCAGTTTATAGTTTATGACTTGATGAGCATATTCTACTGTTATGCATTTTAAATACTGAAAGTGAATATTAAATTTTATATGTATATATGTATGTCTACATATATATATAATATATGCATGCAAGGGTTTATGAAAGGTACATGATGAGAAAGAATTAGAACAATCTTAAGCCTTTTAATTTAAAATGTATTATGGAAAATATTTTGAAATCTGAGTTTAGTTTGAAATGAAAGGAAGACAATTTGAAAGCAGATTTTCAGGGCAGTTAATTAGTTTTAAAGCAAAATTTATGTTGTTCTTAAAAAGTACCTGAAAATACCCTGCCCCAGGACAGCTGGATTGTGATGTACTTCCCCATACTGTATTTTTCAACTTAATTAAAATAAGAACATTGGAAAAACAAAACAAAACAAAAATTATGAATAAAGAAAAACAATGAGTAAAGAAATAAAAAACAAAACAAAATCACCATTTTAACATGCCGTGAAATTAGAAGACAACTTCAAATTCTTTTTATTTTGGCTTCTCCTATTATCTATATGTATTCTGCACAAAATACACAAATAAGTACTAATATTATTTTCATATTACCTATTTACCTTTATGTAAAAGGCCTAGTTTAAGGCAGTTCTCATATTAAAAGAAAGAAAAAATATTTAACAAAAACTTTACTACCTAAGAGCCAACAGTTAAGGAGTTTTTATCCTACAGGCAAGACACATGCATCTGTAACATGACTCTTAAATGATGGCACATGTAAATAGTGTACAGACACTTCAACTATCAGTAGTCACACTTTTGTTTTAGGCAGGAATTAGTACTTTGAAGTTGCATATTTACTAAAAACTACTTAGCAATGCGTATCTGTGACAAATAATATCTCTCTTACTGTATCCTGTATATTGAAAGTTACTCTGGGGCCAGGAGATGCTGCATCAACACGTATTTCTGGGAGTTCCTCAGGTTCTCCTACTCGAGAACTGTAAGTAAAATACAAAGTTATGAAACAATATATATAGTTTAAAAAAAGAACATTCCTGGGCTTCATAAAAGTTTCATTAATGACATTAAAATTTTATTTCTCAATATGTTCTTTATGGAAGGATTTAACTTTTGTTATTACACCTCTTAAACGTTATTGTCGTTAAGTGCAGTCGAACTGTTTCCAACTCTTAGTGACCCTATATAGCATTTCTGAGGAGCGGCTGGTAAATTTGAACCAGCTACCTTGAAGTTAGCAGTCTGGTGCTTATCCTACAGCACCACACCAAAACTCCTTTTAAGCTCTTAAACTTTAGAATCCCATATAAAAAGACTCAATGTACTGACTGACACAAGACTTTCTAAAGCTAAACCATATAAAAAATAATTCTCACTTCTTTATACTGCTCATTTATAGCTGTTGTTGCTAGGTGCTGCTGACTCAGTTCCAACATGTAGCAACCCTGTGAACAAGAGAACGAAACACTGCCCAATCCTGTGCCATCCTCACAATTGTTACAGTTGAGCCAATTGCTGTTGCCATTGCATCAATCCATCTCCTTGGGAATCTTCTTTTTCGCTGACCCTCCACTTTACTAAGCATGATGTCCTTCAACCAGGAACTGGCCCCTCCAAATAATGTTTTGTTATCCTGGCTTTTAAGGAACATTCGGTCTATACTTCTTCCAACACATATTTGTTTGTTCTTCTGGAAATCCATGGTACTTTTAATATTTTTCTCCAATATCACAATTTGAATGTATCAATTCTTCTATGGTCTTCTTTATTCATTGTCCAACTTTCACATGCATAGGACGATATTGAAAATACCATGGCTTGGGTCAAGTACACATTAGTGCTCATACTGGTATCTTTGGTGTTTACAACTTTAAAGAGATATTTTGCAGCAGATTAGCCTAATTCAATAAATACATCGTTTGATTTCTTGATTGCTGCTTCCAGTAAAACAGTATTTTTCTTCAATAATATGTAAAAGTTCCATTTTTGCCAAATATAAGAAATGTGTGTGTATTTAATTACACTTTTTCTCATTGATAAATTTAGAGTAGTAGCTAATAATATGCACATTTTTATATCTGAAATAGTCTGTAAACTTACACATAGAACTTCTCTAGAGAGTACTATCTGTACACATCATTACTAAAATGCACATGCTATACTTTGGTATAAGTGTGATACACAAATTCCTCAAATAAACTTCTTTTTAATACTACCTAAATCCAAACCCACTCACTGCCATTGAGTCAATTCTGACTCATGTGAGTTAAATCTTACTCATATGGGTTTTTGATACTACAAATCTTATGGAAGCAGACAGGCTTATCTTTTTCCCAATCAAGCCACAGCTAGTAGGTATGAACCATAAACCTTGTGGCTAGCAGTACATGGATTATCCTATAGTGCAGCCAGGGTACCTAGCACTACTGATATTCATATTGCCCATTTTTTGCTCTCTTAATGTTATGCTTTTTCAAGTTCGAGCACAATAAAATCAGGTAGTGAATATTGATAAAAGTGTCAGCAATTCTGTCCATTTCATTGGTTGAAATCTACATTACCTTGCCCTTTCCATTCGTTTAAGAGGTGGTCTTCCGGAAGCAGAAATGCTTTTTGATCGGCTATAACTTGGTTTGTACCCCAAGCCCCATTTATCCTTTAGGGAAGCAGCCTAATGAAATGAAAGATAAAAAAGATGACTTTGTGCAGTTATCAATGTTATATCTTACTTCCTATAAAAGAACATAGTCTACTATTAAACAAGCTAGTGTGTTTCACCCAAGGCAATAAATAACAAGTTACTTTAAATTGCAAATTTAAAAGTCACTTAACAGACCATCAAGAAGGAAGAGCATGAGCTGAGCATGACATCCCTCCCTAGAAAAGCTAAGACAGTAGACAGTGGCTGTGTGCCTGTGGACAGGAGGCTGGCAGGCTGTGCCCTTCGAACATTTAAATGGATATATATATATATATATTGTTTGTATTGTTTTTGAAGTGTACATCAAATACTTTTGCCTTGCTCATTTATGAAATATAAGATGTAAATGGGTAGTCACAGGGAGGAAGTAGGATAAATGTTGTTGCAGGAAGGGGATTGTAATAAATTTTTTTTTAATTTTTAAAATTAAAAAAAATTTTTTAATTAAAAAATTTTTTAAAAACCATAGTGTTCTAATAGTATTTTAAAAAGGATATTTCATATATGAATTCATGCTATTATATTTTACTACAGACAGATCTGTACACATTATATTATTAGCCAACAGTGGTTACGAATCGGGCTGTTAACCACAAGGTTGGCAGTTCGAAACTATCAGCTGTTCTGTGGGAGAAAGACAAGGCTTTCTGCTCCCGTTAAGATTTACAGCCTTGGAAACCCTGTAAAGGGTCGCTATGAGTCGGAACCAACTCCACAGTACTTAACAACAACAGCAATACCACTCAGCATAGTCCAGATGCTCAAGGAAAATTAAAAATAATTACTAAAGTAAAAAATAAAAAAGTCACTACACAATATAAGTAGATCAAAGTAGATGAGGAATCAGCTATTCTTTAGTATCAAGATCAATTAGGAGGGTCATGCAATAATGAAAATACCAGCCACCAGCTGGCCTGACAGAAAATAGAAAAGAAAGAAAAGATTCAGCATAGGGAAAATACAAACAGGGTGAGAAGAAAGGAAAATATTTAAAATGAAATGAGAGAAAAATTGAACGTTAAAGGCAAAAGAAAGGTTGGGAGGAAAACGGACAGAAACTGGGGGAGGTAGGTGCAATGGGGTAGGCGAGAAACTACTAGTCATCTAAGTATTATCTATCGCAAAACTCGTATAGTAAAGGTAAGAAAGAAGTAACCTGAATATTCTCACTGTTTTCAAACTCTTCTCCTAACTTATTTTTGTGGGGAATGGAGCACAGACTAGATGTTAAGAAGATTCTCATACAGCTGAGATTTGGAAGACAGAGAGATATAAAGGGAAAATGTCATATGAGACAAGTGCTAAGAAATCAGATGTAATTTCAATATTTTCTCTAATCTTCTCTACCTAGTTTTTATTTTTAACAATTACCAGATATAAACTACCATATAAACAGCACAAAATTAATATTTTAATTACTTATTAAAACTGTTAGGTATATTATTAGATTGTTGTTGTTAAGTGCCATCAAGCAAGTTCCAACTCATAGCAAGCCTGAGTAGGGTTTCCAAGGAGCGACTGGTGAGTTTGAACTGCTAACTTTGCAGTTCAAATGACCTTACAGTCAAGTGCATTATCCCATAGCACCACACCAGGACTCCTGGTTATAAGGTGGTGGTGGTGGTGGTTATGTGCGATGGAGTCAGTTTCAATTCAGAGCGACCCTGTAGATAATAGAAAAACTTGCATTTTCTAGGATTTTGTGGGTGATTAAGGTCAAACTGATAGCCCCAGGATTTCTTACAGCCTATTCTCCTACCTTTGACCCCATCAGCTCTAATTTAATCTGTTTCATATATTGGGGTACCACTCAAATATCTCATTCTGGGGAAAACAAGAGAGTTTTAGCTTATTTACTAAAACAAACAAAAAGATTAAAAGAACATATTTTATCAAACAAGAAGTACGGTTCTTTTTTCACTAACAAGACCATCTTGACATGAAACAACCTATGCCCACTTGGATAAGTTTTATAATTATTTTCTACCATATTTATTCTAATTGTACCAGATAATGTGGTAGGCACTAGGATCAAAGACAAACAGTTTGTTCCACAAGAGATTAAACTCTAGTTGGAGGCAACTAAATCTGAAAATAATAGAGATAAAAGAGATGAGCGTGTGCACTGGCTGAGAGGGAAAATTTGTCATGAGAATGGGATAGAGGAAATATGGATATCTCAAAAAGATTTTCAAAGCACACAGTTGAGTTAACAACTTAAAAACACTATGCCAGCAAGCTTACTTATAAACATCATAGATAAGTTTTATAAACAAAGAAACAAAAAGTCTATACTTCAATAAAATTCTTCATTTACTCACTCGCATACTAGATCTCCGTAACTTTTTACGGACATCTCTTCGAATGTCATTCACAGCAACAGATTCTAACTGCTGATAACGTTGAATTTCCTGGTTTATGGTACCTTCACTTGCACCCAATTTTCTGGTTACAAGACAAATATGGAAATTAGTGGTAAGAAGTAACAAAGGAAAACTGATTTTTACCTGCTCCTATTGAATTTGTTTACTTAAAAGAGCATCAAAAATTATGTATGAAAAGGCTACAGTTAAAACATCTCCGGCAAACTGCAAATAACTTTCTGAAATGTTTGAGGAAACAGTTCTTATACATTTATGCATTAACAGTGTCTCTAACCATCTCATAAAAAGTATGGACAGACTGAAGAAAAATTTATGTAAAATTCTACATATAATTTAAACCTCAGGTAAAGGAGTTTGAAGGAAGAAGGAAGAAGTATATTTTGTTACAAGTCACTTTTTCCACTGACAATAAAACTAAAACTGTAATGTAAGCCAACTGGAAAATATGAATCACTGTGTAATTAATTTATAGACAAGTATTTAGGTGGTATCTGTTGTTATGAAAAATGCATATATATTTGTGCTAAGTCCTTTAATGTATAGTAACACAGATGTAGGTGTGTGAAGATTAGAAAAGATGAGGCATAACCTTTTTGGAAAACACAAAAACTTCAAAGTTTGGCAAGAAGAATATTTAGCATCAAGGAGAAAGTATTTACTTAGCTAATCATTACTATCCAGCAGTCAATGGATACGGAAAAAAATGACTGCCACCTACTCCCTCTTCTTGATTCACGCACCTTCGATCTCTGCATTAAGAATTGCTACTACTGGCAACTGAAAAAAGCATGCATTCTGAGTACAGACATATACAAGTTCAAATTCCTATTCTTTATCTTCTCTGAGCCATGTTTTCTTATCACTGAAATCTGGATATTGCCACCTAACCTTACAGATGTTGTGAGGATTAAATTAATATAAATATACCAGAGTCAGAGTAGGTTCTCAATAAATGTTAGATTTGTTTTTCTCCAATATTTCATTTAAATACTAATGCTAGTAAAAGCCTAGTGCATGTGTGAGAATAAGTAAAAGAGCATTGCTACTTGGGCTCCACTTTAGACACGCATGGGTTTATTCTAGGCAAAACCTGTTTAAAGGTGTTTCTGTGAACAGTGGTTGGCTATAGACAGGCTCTTCAGTAATACACTTGTCTTAGGCTCATTAGGCACCTTCAAAAAACCCAAAATGTTTAATCAAAACAGAGGCTTCCAAAGGGATTTTCTCAGCCAGCTAAATTCAAGGCAGAGAGATTAGACCCATAGGTTGATGGTCACTGTTTCATGGGTCTTCAAAGAAGTAATCTTGATAGATTTTTCTTGAAGGACACAAATGATCACAGGGGCTTATTATGAAGAAGTTTCAGGAAAACTGAAAACTGCATTAGTGAAGAAAAGGCCAGGAAAGTTGTGCTGAGGAAATTTTTCTTCCATCATGACAAAGTACCTGCTCCTTCTGTAATGGCAGCAAGAGCTGTCTTGTAAGTATTTTGTTGGGAAACTTTACCCAATCCACCCTACAGCCTTGATCTTGTTCCTTCAGGCTTCTTTTCCCCAAAACACAAACAACATTTAAAAGGAACGTGATTGGAGGCCAAGAGGATGCCCAAAGTGCCATTTTGATGTGATACAAATCAAAGACAAAAGAATTCTTTGGAGAAGGGCTGCTGTTGTTGTTATTGTTAGATGTTGTTAAGTCTGTTCCAACTCATAGCAACTTGTGCACAAGAGAGCAAAACACTACCCAGTCCTGTACCATCATGACAATCGTTGTTAACCTTGAGCTCTTTGCTGCAGTCACTGTGCTAATCCTTTTCATTGGGGATCTTCCTCTTTTACATTGATCCTCCACTTTACGTAGCATGATGTCCTTCTCCAGGGACTGGTTCCACCTGATAATGTATCAAAAATATGCGAGACATAGTCCCGCCTTCCTGGCTTCAAAGGAGCATTCTGGCTGTACTTCTTCCAACACAGACTTGCTTTTTCTTCAAACAGTCCATGGTATTTTTAATATTCTCCAACACCTTAACTCAAATGCATCAAGTCTTCCTTATTCACTGTCCTACTTTCACATGCATATGAAATTACTGAAAATATCATACAGCTTGGTTAAGGCATACCTTAGTCCTCAAACTGACATCCTTGCTCTTGAACACTTTTAAAGAAGTGTGTAGCAGATTTGCCTAAAACAACATGTGGTTTAATTTCTTGACTACTGTTTCCATGAGTGTTGACAGTGGATCCAAGCAAACTGAAATGTTATACAGCTTGAATCATTCCCCACTTATCATGTTATTTTTAGTCCAGTGGTGAGTATTTTTGTTTTCTTTACATTGAAATGCAACTCATACTGAAGGCTACCGTCGTTGATCCTCATCAGTAAGTATTTTAAGTTCTCTATGCTTTCAGCAGGAGTCATGGGGTGGTGTGGTGGGATAAAGCATTGGACCACAAGATTGGTTTGAACCACAATGTCAGCGGTTCAAATATACCAGCCATTCCTTTGTAATGAGTATTTCTCTAATCCTGATGCCATATTCTTCTTTATATAATGCAGCTTCTCAGATTATTTGCTTAGTATACAGACTGAATAAGTATGGTGAAAGAATACACAACCCTGGCATACACTTTTTCTGATTTCAAACCATTCAATGTCACCTTGCTATGTTTGAATGATTGCTTCTTGGTATATGTACAGGTTCCTCATGAGCAAAATTATGTGTTCTAAAATACCTATTCTTCCCAATATTATCCAAAGTTTGTCATGATCCACACAGTAGAAAGCCTTAGCATAGTCAGTAAGGCACAGCTATACATTTTTCTGGTATTCTCTGCTTTCAGCCAAAACCTACCTGACATCAGCAATGATATCCCTCGTACAATGTCCTCATCTGAATCTTGCTTGAACCTCTGCCAGTTTCCTGTCAATGTACTGTTGCAACCATTTGAGAATTCTCATTAGCAAAATTTTTCTTGCATGTGATATTAATGATATTGTCTGACGATTTCCGTATTCCACTGAGTCACTTCTCTTTGGAATGGGCATAAATATGGATCTTTTCCAATCAGTTGGTCAGGTAACTGTCTTCAAATTTCTTGGCATAGATGAATGAGTGCCTCTAGTGCTGTACCAATTTGTTGAAAGATTTCAATTTGCATTCCATCAGTTCTCAGTGCCTTGCATTTTGCTAATGCCTTCAACGTACCTTGGACATCTTCCTTTAGTAATATTGGCTCTTGATCATATGCTTTCTCTTGAAATGGTTGACCATCAACCAGTTCTTTTAGCTTGAGAAATGCTGAGTATGTTCTTCTCTTTTGGTTTTCTAACTCTAGGTCTTTCTTTGCACTTTTCATTATAATATTTGACTCTGTCTTTTCAAGTTGCCCTTTGAAATTTTCTGATCAGTTTTTTTACTTCCTCATGCCTTCCATTTGCTTTAGCATCTCTACACAGGAGACCAACTTTCAGTCTCTTCTTATATCCATTTTGGTCTTTTCCTTCTTTCCTGTCTTTTTAATGACCTGTTGTTTTCTTCCTATATGATGTTCTTGATGTTATCCCACAATTCTTCTGGTCTTTGGTCTTTAGTGTCAATGCATCAAATCTTTTAAGAGGATTTCTAAATTCAGGCGGGATGTATTCAAGGTCAAATTTTGGCTCTCTTAGACTTGTTTTAATTTTCTTTTGCTTCAGCCTAAACTTGCAAGTGAGCAATTGATGGTCAGGTTCCACAGTTTGCCCCTGGCCTTGTTTTGACTAATGATATGGATATTTCTGACCATCTCTTCCCATAGATGTAGTCAATTTGATTTCTGCATATTCCATCTGGTGAGGTTCATGTATATAGTTGTCTTTTATATTGTTCAAGAAAAGTATCTGCAATGAAGAAGTCATCTGTCTTGCTAAATTTTATCATGTAATATCCAGCATCATTTCTATCACCAAGGTTGTATTTTCCAACTACTAATTTTCTGCTTGTTTCCAGCCTTTGCATTTCAGTCTCTAGTAATTAGCACCTTTGCATTTCAATCTCTAGTAATTAGCACCTTTGCATTTCAATCTCTAGTAATTAGCAATACATCTTGATTGCATATTTGATCAATTTCAGACTGAAGAAGTTGTTACAATTCTTCAATTTCATTATCACTGGTTTTAGTGGTTGGTACATATATTTGAATGTTAATGGTATTAATGGGCCTTCCTTGTAGGTGTTACTCTTCAAGACAGGTCTTGAAATGTTCTTTTTGATGATGAATATGACACCATTCCTCTTCAATTTGTCATTTCCGACATAGTAAGCCATGTGACTGTCAAGACTCAAAATAGCCAATACTAGTCCACTTCAGCTCACTAAAGCCTAGGATACTGACCTTTCTTTGTTCCATTTCATTTTGACAACTTCTAAATTTCCTAGATATATACTTCATACCTTCCATGTTTTAGTTATTAATGGATGTTTGCAGCTGTTTTTCCTTATTTTGAGTTGTGCTTCATCATCAAATGAAAGTCCTGAAAGATTACTACATTTGCATCATCATAGTCAACTCTACTTTGAAAAGGCAGCTTTCCCCTAGTTGTATTTTTGAGTGCTTTCCAGTTTGAGGGGCTCATCTTCCAGCACTGTATCTGACAATATTCTGGTGCTATTCATCATGTTTCAGTGTTTCATAGTCTGATGCTATCTTATAGTGTTCCATGCTATTCAAAATGTTTTCAGTGGCTAAACGTTCTGACGTGTTTGCTCCTGGTTTTTCCTAGTCTGTTTTAGTCTGGAAGCTCAACCAAAACCTGTTCCCCATGGTGTACCCTGCTGGTATTTAAGGGCTGCTGGCATACCGTCCAGCATCACAATAAAATGGAAGCCACCATAGTATAATAAACTGATAGATGAGTGGTGGTGGAGAAGGGCTAGAGAGATGGAAATAGTACCTTCAAAATTATAGAGACCTACACGACAGGGCATAATGGAAAAATAATTGCTTTCCATTTTGATATTTTCGTTTAATAAATGTTTTGATCATTTTATAGCAATTACTTTTTCACTTATCCTCATATTTATGCCTAGTTGTATATGTATCTACATATGTAGAGATACATATGATATAAAGTCAATAATAAACTGTTCAGAAATTGGGAGTTGTGAAGAATGCCAGACTAGGATTCCAGCCACTAACTTTATCACTAATAAATTTATGATCACAAGTAAATTAATTACTAAACCTAAACCTCTCTGGGCCTTGATGTCTTCATTTATAAATGAAAGGGATTGTACTACTCCAAATTCAACTTCCTTCACATTCTAATACTAGGACATACTATATTTAATGAAAAATCCATATACATACTTGAGATCATCTATTACTTTGGCCTGTTCATTCAGTTCTCTAATATCTACTATACGCTTCACAATTTTTCTTCCTCTAAGTTCTCCTGGCTGGCTGCCAGATGTTCCTTGTCTTCGATAATCGATAGCTTCCTGAAAAATCAAAAGGATATCTGTCATTGCCACCTTCAGGTTACACAGCAAATCAAAATTAACTCCTTAAATCAAAGGAAGCATGCAAGAATCAAAGTCAGCTATATTAGGTACAATGATTGGAATTCACCAGTGATTCAAATCCCTTCATTTTCATAAATGCTACCTATGTTTTCAAAAATGCTACCTACGTTTCCCCATGAGTGAGCTCTGCAAGCTTTCAAATGGGACTGGCTAGACTTAGGGAAGCCCATCTCTGGGTCACACAGATACTCTGCAGGAACAGAATAGCGTTGATTTTGGGGTGTCAGGCCTAGGAGGTGATTTACAAGTCGCTGCCCAAAGGTGAGTTTGTGGCCATCTCCACTTACTGAACTTCCATCTGAACTCTAAATGATAAACAGTAACATTAATTTTTAACATTTTTTTCCCAAGAACAAAACTATTCCATGGTAAAATTGTTTAAAAAAAATTTTTTTTTAATTTCTTAATCCCACAATGAAAGCAGAGAGTACATTTGATTACTATTTTTAAAACGTACACTTGGACTTGGTGTGTGCATGCTTTGCTTTTTTGACATTTCATTTTTAAGTATCTTTATTGAGATGTAACTGCACACTATAAAATTTACCCATTTAAATGCACAATTCAGTTTTTTAAAATAATCTTTATTTAAAAAGTTTTGTAACCATCACTATATTCTCAGTTTAGAATGTCTTCATCACTTTAAAAGAAATCCTATGCCTATTAGCAATCACTCCCATTTTCCCCTTTAATCCCAGCTTTAGACAACTATGAGTCTACTTTCTGTCTCTACAGATTGATGTTCATTTTGCTTTTCATGTTAGTCCTATAAGCCAGAACAAAAGTTGGTCAACAGACGCAGAACTCAATTAAAATATTATGAAATACAGACACATAAAATACAAACATTTCCTTGCCTTCCTCTATTAACAGCAAATGTTATATAGTAAATAGCAATCAGTATATCTTAATTCTCCTGTCTCAGTGTAAAACCCAGTCCTGAAAAGTTCTACCAGTATTTACTTACAGTATGGATAGTGGGAGACATAGTATCCACTTCATCCTCATCTGACAGGTCAGCTATGGTAACTGAGTTTAGGTCAGCAATGTCATCTATGTCTTCCTCTCCTGTCAGTGTTGTAAGGGTGTTGCCCAGAGCATTAAGCCTTTTGCCAATATTAGGATCCATGTGGACATCAATCCCACACATTTTCCACAGTACATTGAGTGTCCAGGTTCCAGCACTACTACTTTCTGTTTAAATAAAGAAGTGGCATTTTTTGTAAGGCCTAACATAGAAATTTAAATAATTCTATATTTAAGGAGGAACCCTGGTGTGGCACTGTAGGTTAATCCCTGGACTGTTAGCAGGAAGGTCAGAAGTACAAACCCAAGAGCCACTCCTCAGAAATCCTATACAGAGTCGCTGTGAGTAGGCACTGACTCAACAGCATTTAACAACAAAATAATTAAGGAATGTGATGGACAATGGTCACACATAATAACTAATGTCTCCCGTAGTGAGATGCAGAGATGTACTAGAATATGGGCTTAATTCCAATCAGTTACACCTTTCTTCTTTCCAGTAAACTGCAGATTTCCTTCCAAACTCCTAAGAGGAGCTACCATCCATCCCACGACTATATTAGGGGGCTTCAAAAAGTTCATGGGAAAGAATCCATTATCTTTTTATACAATTTCCCATGAACTTTCTGAACTTATTCACTTTTGTCTTTTTTAAAACGCATAGCAGTATAACTACTAAATAAATAAAAAGTTCAAATACTATTATAAAATGATTCTAAAAAACACAAAACACTAGAGTTAGCTTAGCTAAAAGATCCTCATGCCATTAAAATCTGGGCAGAATTCTGACATAAGTCACCAAAGTAATATATGTGAACTTACCAGCCGCTGCTTGTCCTGTTGTCCTTGAACATACTTCATAGGTACCATCTGGAACTACACCTGCAAAAAAATAGGTTTCAGTAAAACTATGCCGAGATTCAATATTATATTCCAATTATTCAGTTAAAGATAATTACTTAAACACAAACAGGATCACTAGCTTCTCTAGGTTTTGTTTCATAATCTACAAAATGAAAGGGTTACCTTAGCTAACTCTAAGAATCCATTCCATATCTCACAATATCTCATTCTATGACTTTAACAATTTTACTACAGATTCATGTTTGCATTCTGAATGTGATTTAATTATCTGCGTGACAACACCTGGCCAATTCTGAACTTCGAGTTGCCTTCCCACCAACATCCAGGTGGCTAAGACAATTCTTACCAGCAGTCAAGGACACTTAAGAAAATATAAATGTTTCAAAAATGATTTTTTTAATAACTAAGAACTGCCACAGTAAGTCAAAGTCATGATTCATCATCCCTGTCTTCTTTGACAGTGAACATTGTATGCATACAAATAATACACTACAATGATGTCAATCTCATAAGGTCAGAAAAATTATCCTTAGAACACATCTGATTTTAATTTTGAAACATTTACTATCACTTAGCTTTAATTTGACAACTTCAAAGTCATAAAAAGATGTCAATTAAGTTCTATTTTATACAGCAAAGGACATACTATCCTTGAAAGAATTTTTAAACAAATTAGAAACTTAAGGTAGAATTAAGACCCTTTTTTAGGAATGCCTAATTAAAACCAAAGGAGCTCTGGTAGCGTACTGGTTACGAATCCGGCTGCGAACCTTAAGGTCAGCAGTTCAAAACTACCAGTTGTTCTGCGGGCAAAAGATGAGACTATCTGCTCCCGTAAAGATTTACAGCCTCAGAAACCCTGTACAGGGTTGCTATGAGTCAGAACCGACCCCATGGCACACGACAACAACAACAATAATTAAAACCAAATATAAATATAAACGTGATACTATACATGTCTTAAAATAAATGTTCTTTTGTGATTCACTCTAATCCTAAATTGGTATTCAAATATTATTCAAATTTGAGTTTGGTATTCATTTTCTAAGTACTATGGTGTTACATTTGTTTTCAAAACTGAAAAATGACTCAACTTAAAAATGCTACAATTTATGTTGGAAGAAAAGGTCTTTTCTTTGGTAGCTTTTAAAGAGATAGAAACAGCTTTAAAATGCCAATTATATTATTGAATTATTTGGCATCTGTGCTGTGTCTCATTTAAAGATGCCAAATTAAGAACTAGATCTAATTTGGGGGCAAAAGATTAACTTCTATAGTCATTATTACAAATCACAGGAGTCTTGGTGTGGCACTGTAAAATAAGCACTGGACTGCTAACTGCAAGGCTGGCTGCTCAAACCCAACAGCCTTTCCTCGGGAACCCTATAGGACTGGCTCAGAGTTACACAACAACTCAGTGGTAGACAACAATAACAAGAAGTCAGAATAAAATAAATCTAGATTACCCTATAAAATGTAATTGAATGAACAGAAAAGTTTGAAATATGAGTTACAGTTGAAGGTAAGTGAAATGAAGAACTATTAAATAGAAACATGGTAGAACACATTTAGGCTTTCCTCTCCTATGAAGTGACAGAGAATAAAAACTAATCTGCCTATTTTATAATTGGAATTTCTAATAAAACAACTTACTTTGCTCACTGCTTCCATGACCTCTTCCCCCAAATAAAAACAAAAACATGAAACCAAAGTCATTTGTTGTTATTGTTGTTGTTAGGTGCCATCAAGTCAGTACCGACTCATAGCGACCATGTACAATAGAACGAAATACTGCTCTGTCCTGGGCTAACCTCGCAATTGTTGCCACGCAGCCCACTGATGCTGCCACTTTGCCAATTTATCTTGCCGGGATGTTTCTTCTTTTTCTCTGACCCTCCACTTTATCAAACATGATATCCTTCTCCAGCGACTGGTCTCGCCTGACAAAATGTCCGAAGCATGAGAAATGAAGTTTGGCCATCCTAGCTTTTCCAAGGATCACTCTAGGTGTACTACTTTCAACACAGATCTGTTTGTTCTTTTAGCAGTCCAAGGTACTTCCAATATTCTCCTCCAATACTATAATTCAAATGCATCAATTCTTTTATGGTCTTCCTTATTCACTGTCCAGCTTTTGCATGCATATCAGGTTATTGAAAATACCATGGCTTGGGTCAGGAGCACCTTAGTCCTAAAGCTGACATCTTTGCTCTTCAACACTTTTAAGAGGTCTTGTTGTGCAGTAGATGTGATCAGTGCAATACCAATGCAATTAATTTCTTGAATGCTGCTTCCATGAGTATTGATGGTTGATCCAAATAAAACGTAATCTTCAACAATTTCAATCTTTTCTCCATTCATATGGAGGTTGTTTATTGGTCCTGTGGTGAGGATTTTTGTTTTCTTTACATTGAGATGCAACCCATACTGAAGGCTGTGGCCATTTAGTACCCTCCCAAACCTAAAATCTTATTACTCACATTAACATTGTCAGCATGTTAGTGTTCTACTTTGTTGGTTGACTATACACTTAGAAGTTGTTATTGTTAACTGCTGTTGAGTCAGTTCCGACCCATAGCGACCCTGTATAGGGTTTCCAAGGAGCAGCTTGAGAACTTGAACCACTGACCTTGCTGTTCAAACCGATTTTTGCAGTCCAGTGCATTAACCCACGGTGCCACAATAGGATTCTATACTTAGATGGGGAGTTATTATTTGTTAATGGTTTTCAAACTTTTATTTAGAGTCAAAAGTGAAAAGTTACTTAGTACTTCTCATACATTTTACCTTTAATGTAAACTGTTAAGGATCTATAGCATAGTTCCGTTGCTTAGAAATATATTTCAAAATATGTAAGGATAGCAAAGATGTCATCTTAACAACAGTCACTAGGCTTAAGTAAGTTACATGCACTTTTATGAACACTAATGTCAATAATAACTAGGGATGCAATTACCAACCATGGTTATTTATAACCTATTTTAGGTCATGTGATGCACTGAGTCTTAGACATTCATCACTTTCTTTCAAGATCTCCACAGAACAAAGATGTTTGGTTGATCATTCATGGATCAATTACAGGGAAAATGAGAGATCAAACCTTCAAATGTTATACCATCAAAAAGAATGCCTTTATATAGTTTGTACATTATTTATACAAATTACTAAAAGCTATGTTTTTCACAAATACATTTTGGTCTTCCTTTTCACAAAATTTAAAAACACTCTTAAAACTGAATATCTTTTAGTTTTACAAATCAAGACAAAGAAATTCTAAAATTTATATAGAAAATAAGACACTCACAGGCATTCATCACTAGATCCCCACGAATTTCTGGTTTCCAGTCATCCCACGATGTCTCAAAGCCATCAGCAAAACGTATACAAAAGTTTTTGAAATGTCCTTTACTAACAAGAGACTCTGAAGAGCAAGCAGTGATGAGGGTGCTTTCAATAGTCAATACTAAAGCAGAACCAGTGTCAAGGTCTCCGGTGTGATTAGACTGCAAAGTACATTAAAGAAATAAGACAAAAGGTGATGATACTTTGACTTGAACGAGCTCACAGGTTGACAGACACAGAAAACTATACAGCACCAAATCTAAATATCATCACTAAAAATCAAGTGCAGTACATTTGTCATATATAGAAATACATACTCACACATATATACTGGTGTTGTTAAGTGCCATCGAGTTAATTCCGACTCACAGCCACCCTGTCTAGGGTTTCCAAGGAGTGGGTGGTGAGTTTGATCTGCTGACCTTGCACCAAACCAAGATTCTATGCATATATATGGACACACACATATACATATATGGACTACTGGTGTGGTGCTGTGGGTTAATGCACCGGACGGACTACCAGGTTGGCTTGAACTGAAAGGTAATTGGTTCAAGTTTACCAGCTGTTCCTTGGAAACCCGATACAGATTGGCTATAAGTTGGAACCGACTTGATGGCATTTAACAACAACAACAATATACACACATACATAATGTCTTTTTTTCCCATTAAACTTGCTAAGGGCTAACTATCTCACACCTGTTTCAGCTTCAGTCATGGGAACTCTCTCACTATGACATACACCTAAGACATGTGTAACTTCTGAGCACTGTCCATCGTACCATTAAAAACTATCACCATTTTTCATTTACTGAGACACATGCCACTGTGGTTTTCTTAACACTGTCTTGCCAAACAAAACATTACAGATAAACTCATTCAAAACCATTATAGATTTGTTATAATTATTACTTATCATACACAAGTGCATGCAAATAAATATTCCGGAGATTTGGTCCTAAATTATGAAGAGAAAATTCTTGCTTTATACAGCTGTAAACATAGCTGGTGTGGCAATGTATTATAAGCATTGGACTACTACCCATGAGATTGATGGTTCATACTCACAGCTGCTCCTAGAAACCCTATACAGAGTTGCTATAAGTTAGAACCGACTTGATGGCACTTACCAACAACAAAAGGTTCTGCTATAGATGAAGTTATTAAAGATTGTTAAACAATATTCTTGAAGTCTTTTTATTTCCATTTTACGAACAAGTCTATGTCAAAGACTTTTTTGTTACCAAAAAGACTGAAAACAACTTTCTTATCTGCCAAAGTAAAAATCACAAATTATCAGATGGGTATTACTCTCATCACTATCCTGGGGCAAGTTAGAATGCTTCAGCGAAAAATATCAGAGATTCTAATTTAAAATGTTACAGATAAATAATGTTTGAAGGAGTCCATTCTATCTTGCTATTTATTTAACTCAAGTTATAATCTCTCAAAGAAAATCTATTGATCTACTCTGTATACACAGAAATGGTTGGTAAAAACACCTGCCTCTTAATCTGGAATATGACTTTTATTTTTTTACCTGTGCAGTATTTGTGATAGGCAGGCAAATTCCCAGATCATTCACAGTGAGCTGGAGGAAGAGAGTCCCAAAGGCCTGTGCTGATGTTTGCTGGATACCAGGCAGCATGTCTACTACTTCCTTTGTTGCCATATGAATATCCTTATGTAAGGCCATACGTTGTTCATTCCAATTGTCATAGGCAGCCTTATAATTCAGCCAAAACAGCACAGCTTTTGATATTTTAAGGTAAGGAAAAAAGAACATTAAATTCATTGCTGTAAGATGAATAAATATTAGTATCAGAGAACTGTAGCATCAGCATTAAGGAGGAGCTAGTTAACTTGAGATTAATGAAAAACAAAGACGCAGCAGCAGTAGAACACATAATGGCAGAAGGAAAAAGAAACTCACTCCCTTCTTTACACAAATTATTTGTTGAATGCCTGGGATAGACTAACAACCATCGACCTCTTAGAACTTTGATTTTTCTTTCCTCACCGAATTCATTGTTACTACAGTTAAAAACTGTTGAAGGAAAAACATCTATTCTATATGTTAAAGAAATCTGAGATACAGAGATAGGTATTCATACAAGAGTTCCCTGAGAGGAAACACCAATTAGATTATTTAAAATGTGCTGTTTAAACTTTTGGCTTAAGTTTTATTTTCCTGTGATAGATGAAAAGAAAACTTATAAGCACTGCACCCACCCCCCCGCAAAAAAAAAAAGAAAAGAAAAAAGAGTTCCCTGAGGAGAAGTACCTGAATTGAGTCTGAGGGACCTTTCCAATCATTAGATTGTAAAGCTGAACCACAGCATATGCAAGGGAGCTTAAGACACTGTTGTAGTAGAGAATGTTGTTGATAGGTGCCACTGAGTACATGTTAACAGTAAGCTTTCTAGGCTGTGGTAGCGTAGTGGTTACAAACTGGACTGCTAACCACAAGGTTGGCAGTTCAAAACTACCAGCTGTTTCGTGGGAGAAAGATGAGGCTTTCTGCTCCCATAAAGATTTGCAGCCTTGGAAACCCTGTAAAGGGTCACTAGGAGTCGAAACCGACTCCATGGTACTTAACAACAATAACAACAACAATCTATATAGGAGTAGCTCATCAGGTTTTTCTGCCACAAAGCTACTGGGGGGCGTTTAAACGGTTCACCTTTCAGCTAATAGTCGAGTGTTTGACAGTTGTAACCCCAGGGGCTCCTTGTAGTGGAGACAGTGATATGAAAGAAGCTGAAGTAGGATTGAGTGGGGCTAGATCTTATACTGCCCTACATGCCACAGCTAAGAGCTCCAAGAATCAGTGTTTTATTTTTGCAGGGGTGGTGGCAGATATATCAGGTCAGACTGTAGTGTACAAAACAGATAGGATGGGGTCTGGAAGAAATGAAAGAAAGCTATTGACAGTGCTTATAAGAAATGATGACTAGGATGATGGCTGAGAGGAGTGAGCTGTTAATATCACCATGATGTCCTGACGGACAGAATGATAGGGGGGAAAGGAGATTTCAAGGATGTCACCATTTGTTAAGTGCCATCGAGTCAGTTCTGACTCATAGCGACCCCGTTTCTCATAGCAACCTCAGGGTTTCTGAGGAGTGGCTGATGGGTTTGAACTGCTGACCTTGTGGTTCCCAGGTCAGTGCTGATCCTACAGTGCCGCACCAGGAGTCCAGGGATGTTGCCAAGTTTTGGCATAATAAGTAGACAGAAAGTGGTGCCATTTATAACTTTCATTTTAGACATATTGAGTTTAAGTGCTTTTTAATCAAAGTGGAGATGTCATGTATACAGGTGGGTAACCTAGCATTGCACTCAAAGGTGTGTGATATGTGTTATAAGTGAAATCTATATGCATAATTAAGACTGACCAGGGAACAAACATGGTGGAGTCGTCACAAACTGGAGGATGTTCTGAACCACAGAACTGCTTTGTTTAGTCGACAAAATGTTTTTTTCAAATATTTTGACTTTGCTCTTTTAGGTGGGCATGCAACTTCACTATTGGGCATGGCTTAGCCCTGGTGATTCAGTGTTTAAGTACACAGCTGTTAATCAAGAGGTCAGTGGTTCCAACCTGCCAGTTTTTCTGCGGGAGAAAAATGTGTGTGCTTCCTTAATGATTATAGCCTTGAAAACCCTCATGGGGCAGTTATATCCTATCCTAATTCTCATTATTTTCTTTTATGAAAGCTGGTACTACATTTTCTCAGGCCTCTGCTCATATACCTTCATTCATATTCTCTCTCTCCTTTGTTAGATACTTATTTAGTTATTTCTGTATGCCAAAGAGTATTCTAAGCTCTGTAAAACAACTGTCAATTAGATAAACTTTCATTTCCTTGTGTTTCTGGTAAACTCCTAACTTTACATCTCATGTCAAGTAGAATTTTCTCCATTAAACAATACAGACAAAGTCAGAGACTCCTTCAGTTTCTGGAACATACACCTCTAACTCTACTCTATACTTTACTTAGAGGTCCTTGAAGGCATGAGTCTAGAGTTTCTTTTTTTATCTTTGTATTATTCTATTTCTAGACAGTACACAATAAATGTTTACAGAATGAATGAGTAAATAAAACGGCAAAACATAAATGGGTCCATTAGTTTGGCAAACCAAAAAAATTTGGCATTATCAGTAAAATCCAGACTCAGACACTCATATATCCATACAGAAAGCAAAATGAAGCTAGATGATATATAGAAATTTCTAAATCCTAGAAGACAATAATGATGGACGTTGTCTTACCTCTATCAAAGGCTACAGGCTGTGCATAAACAATTGGTCTATTCAAAGTAATAAGTACAGCTTCTCTATCTGAAGAACCACTGATTTCTTCTCGGAGTGCATTTCTTAATCCAATTCTGGTTTTAAAATAGGCAACTTGATGAAAATCAGAACCAGCTTCCTCATAAACCTGAAATAAAATTTAAAGCTCAAAAAAATCAAATAATGGAAAGAATATTTTAATTATAATAAAAATACATTTATCAATTTCATTTTTCAAGTATATGTTCTTTATATTTTATACCATACACACCTGGAATATATAGTAAGCACAGTCATACTGTATTAATGAACAGTCACAACTTACGAATTCACAGATACATTCCATACAGAAGTAAGGTTGAGGTTCAGTCTCTGAATGCAGTGTATTATTAAATACTTCAAAATAATGAAAACTTCCTTCATCTCCTCAAAATGTGTTGTTGTTGTTGTTGCTAGGTGTTGTCAAGTCGTTACTAACACATAGTGATATTATACACCTGTGATAATCTCACAATGTCCTGTGCTAATCTCACAATCATTGCTACACTTGAGCCCACTGCTGCTGCCACTGTGCCAATCCCTCTCATTGGGGTCTTCTTTTTCGCTGACCTTCCACTTTGCCAAGTATGATATCCTTCTCCGGGGACTGGTCCCTCCTGATAATAAGTTCAAAGTAAGAGAGACGAAGTATAGCCATTCTGGCTTCTAAGGAGCATTTTGGCTGAATTTCTCCCAATAGATTTGTTTGTTCTTTTGGCAGTCCATGGTACTTTCAATATTCTCCTCCAATCAAATACATCAATTCTTCTATAGTCTTTATTCACTATCCAACTTTAACATGTATATGTTGTTGTTGTTGAGTGCCGTCAAGTCGGTGCCGCCTCAAAGCGACCCTGTACAGGGTTTCCAAGGCTGTAAATCTTTACGGGATCACAAAGCCTCATCTTTCTCCTGCAGAGCAGCTGGTAGTTTCAAACTGCTGACCTTGCAGTTCGCAGCCTAATTCATAACCACTATACTACCAGAGCTCCTTAACATGTATATAAGGCTACTGAAAATACTTTAGTCCTCAAACTGACATCTGTGATCTTCAACATTTTAAAGAGGTCTTGTGAAACAGATTTGCCTAATGCAATGTGTCTTATCACAGTTTGTTAAGGAGTCTTACTTCAAACCTGATGCCACATTGTTCTTCATATAATCCAAAAATTGATGGTCTGTTCTACAGTCTGCCCCTGTCCTTTTTTGGCAGATAACATGGAGGTTTTCCACAATATCTTTCCACAGACATAGTCAATGTGATTTCTGTGTATTCCATCTAGTGAAGTCCAGATGTTTAAAAAGCTATTTGCAATGAAGAAGTCATTGGTCTCGTAAAATTCTATCATGTGATCTCCACCGTCATTTCTGTCACCAAGGCTATATTTTCCAAACATGTTCCATGTTCCAATTATTAATGGATGTTTACAACCATTTATCTTTATTTTGAGTTGTGACCCAAATAAAGGTCCTGAAGGCTTTACTCCATTTGTGCCATTACGGGCAACTCTTTTTTGAGGAAGCAGTTCTTACCAAGTTGCATTCTGAGTGCCTTTCAACCTGAGGGGTTTATCTTCTGGCACTATATCTGACAATATTCTGTTGCTATTTGTCATATTTCAATATTCAACATTCTGGTGCTATCTCACAATGTTCTATTGCTATTCATCAGTGGCTAAATATTCGGAAGTAGTCTGTCTCTCCTTCTTCCTAGTCTGTCTTCATCTGGAAACTCAGCTGATATCTCTCCACCATGGGTGACCTTGCTGGAACTTAAAATACCAGTGGCATAACTTCCAGAATCACAGCCACATACAAGTCACTGTAGTAGCATAATTTGATAGAGGCATGGTGGAAAAAATGTGCTAGCATTTGAAAAACAAACCTACAAAAACAAAAACTGTTTTTCTAGAGAGAAGAATTTTTTTTCTCATTTTCCCCATATAAACTATTTATATATGAAAATGGTGACTCATAGTATTCTAGTTCGCTCTTAAAACCAAAGGGGGAAAAGGCCTTAATCTACAAAACAGTTTTTAGCTAAATCAAAACAAGTTGAAATGAAAAAAAAAAAAAAAAAACTAATGATGAGCAATTTACCTTTTAAAAAGAGAGAGAATCTGAATAACTTTTGACTATTGGTTTGATTTTATATATGAACATTCTAGTATATAAAATTTGCCAATATCCTATAGAGCAACTAATAAATGTAATGATATTTCAAAAGCTGGCCAATGTTAGTACAAAATATTGAGATAAAAATAAGAAAATAAAAATTCAATGAAATATTTTATGAAGATCACGGATTAAATTTAATTTTCACAAAACTATAACAATACACAGCTACAGTGCTCCATGAAAATTGTAAAAGTTTTCTTATATGAATTTTTATTAGAATTTACAATCAGAAAGTTTAGAATCTTGGAAGTTTTATAAATATAATAAACATAGATTGAAGTAGTTCAAATATTAAAAGGCATAGTTCTATTAGTATCAACATATTTTGTACTCACCTGATGTTTGACAATTTGTCCTAATGCCAGATTTAAATCCACCTGGCATTTACCAAACAGTTTCAGATAACTGCTACTCCCTGGTAGAGCTTTGGTTTGAAGTCTGTTTGAGAGCTCCAGTTCAATCAAACCAGTTTCAAATCTCACTGCTCTCATTGATGGTGTTGTTGCGGTTACTTGAATACCCTAGAATATTATGTGTTAGGAGGAAAAGGAATATCATAAATCAACAATGAACCACCCATTCAAATGCACTTCTTCAATATTCATAAATAAAATAGCCATGTTTTACAACATTTTATAGGATATGTCCAATCATCTGATAAAACTGGCTACCTTCTTTCTCTTATCAGTAGAAACATTTTTAAATATTACATTTCATTTAGGAGTCCTGGTGTGGTGTTGAAGGATAATGCACTGGACCACAAGGTTGGTTTAAACTGCAAAGTCAGTGGTTCAAACTCACTAGCCACTACTCAGAAACCCTATACAGGGTTGCTTTATCTCAGAACCAACTCCACAGCACTTAACAACAACAAATTTAAGTATTTTGTATTTAATATGCAGACTTTTATTAATTAAATGCATTAATTACAGTTACATGTCTATTTGCTAATATTTTTCTTTTTAAAAAGGTGTGGTGCCATAGGATAAAGCACTGGACTGCAAGGCTGTTTTGAACCACAAGGTGGCAGTTCAAACTCACCAACCACTCCTGGGAAACCTTACACAGGGTAGATATGAGTCAGACCCGACTTAATGGCACTTAACAAGAACAACATCATAACTATCAAAAATATTAAGACTTCTATTAAGATATTCTTTTTTAATTGGGAAAATATTTAAACGAGTGTGGCAGTAAATGTTTAATAAATTGAAATGTTTACTAGAAGGTAAGTAGTTAAATGAATTGTGTAATAAATACAGCTGTTCAAAAGATAAACTGAATCTAAATGTTCTGATACGGCAAAGTATCCACAAATTTAAAACAATACATAAGATAGGCACATGTGAGTAGAAAAAATCTTGGAATGTATCCAAATAGTTATTTAAAACTTTTCCCTGACTGGATGTGGTTAACACTTCATTTTATTTCTGACTTAGCACATTTATATACAAGAATTTTCTATAATAAGTATATATTAATAGAAAAACATTTAAATATTACTATTATTTATGTTACCTTAAACTGTAAGTTCAGTGAATAGAGGAGAATTTTAGGTTTATCTCCATCCGCTGTTCCATCATGTTCATTCCATAGAGGAATAGGCTGTTCCCCACCTAGAAAAATTTAAGTAATTGAGGTTTGAGACAATCCTCTAAAAAAAGAAAACTAATAACTATTTTGCACATCTGAAAACTCCACACATAATGACTTTTATTTCATCTTTACTAATCATCAACCCAATGTTTAACAGGATCTTAGTCAAATTACATTTTAAGAGTCACTTAGAAATAATCAACAAAAACATTACACATATAATCTATGTGATTATATATTTAGAAAAAAATTTGAGAGGAAAAAAGCAAACAGAGTGATGATTGACAAGCAAAAGATGGGAACTTTATTATTTAAATTTTGTTGTGCTGCAAACAAAAGGTGAAAGAAAATACAACATTGGGGAAGTAAAACGATATTATATGCTAATAATAAAGACTGTGTGCAGGCTTAACTATTTGTTTCTTATGGCCCTTCTGGCCAGCTTTTTTCTTTTGTGTGATATATTGTAAAGTCCAGCCTCTATGCATATGATTATGCGTCCATTTTGAAGTTAGTTGCTAAGGCATAAAGATTCTTGTGTAGCACTGTACAATAAGCACTGGACTGAAAGATCTGTTTGAACCTAAAGGCCAGTGGTTAAAATCCATCAGCCACCCTACGTAGGGTCGTTAAGTCAGAAGCAACTGAATGGCACTTAACAACACCACCAATGAAGATTAAAATGGGGCTAAGGGAGTAAAGATTACAGTGCATCTAAGGATTAAAGATGTCCCCACTTGACTAGAGGGTGTGACTCAAGTCACCACCCTTCATTACCCTTGGGAGCATGGTCTGACTTCAAATGATAAAGACTGTTGCTCTGGATCTTGCATCCGGCTCATTACTCCTAACCTCCAGTTCGTGGGACTTTCAGGCCATCACCTGACCTGATTCACCAGCTTCTTTCTGGTTCTTGTCTGACCTGCTGATTTGGGTTCCTGAACTCCTGAGATTATGTAGGTGAGAAGATTCCTCCAGACTGATCTCTGAATTAAGCATTTGGGACTTGCCATCCTCCACAACTGTGCAAGCTATTTCTTTTGACAACTGTTAGTTTTGTGAGATGTAGTAGCATGTCTCAGAACCCTAGGACTCGAGGAAAGGGAAGAGTGGTGGTTGATATCAAGGATTATGGAGTGGTATAACATGTTAGGAAAGTCAAACAGTCAGAATCTTGTTAATGTCTGACTCACAGGGACCAGTCTTGTGCTGGTCTTTCTAAAAGAAATTACTCATGCACTGTGACAGCAAAAATCACTTTTATATATGTAATGAAAAAAAAAGTTTTTCTATGCGGGGCCTTTTATAGACTAGGAAACCCTATATGTTGTTGTTATTAAGTGCCGTTGAGTCAGTTCAGACCCATAGTGACCCTGTATAGGGTTTCCGAGGCTGTGAATCTTTACGGGAGCAGAAAGCCTCATCTTTCTCCCGCGGAACAGCTGGTAGTTTCGAAACTGCTGACCTTACGGTTCACAGCCTGATTTGTAACCACTATGCTACCAGAGCTCCTAGGAAACCCTATATAGGTATAGTTTACTCTCATAGAATTAGTTTATTCTCATAGCTATGCTGTATAGGGTCTCTGAGGCTGTAAATCTTTGCAGGTGCAGAAAATCTCATTTTTCTTCTGTGGAATGGCGGTGGGTTTGAACCTTCACTGGTTTGCAGTCCAGTGTTTATCCTACAGAGTCTCTCTGCTTTTCTATATATAGAGTTGTTGTCGTTAAGTGCTGTCGAGTTGATTCTGACCCATAGCGACCCTGTATAGGGTTTCCAAAGAGCAGCTAGTGAGCTTCAACCACCAACCCTGCAGTTCAAACGACGTTGCAGTCTGACACATTAGCCCACAGCGCCACACCAGGACTCCATATATAGAGCTGTTGTTGTTGTTAAGTGCCGTTGAGTCAGTTCCAACCCATAGCAATTCTGTATAGGGTTTCCAAGGAGGAGCTGGTGAGCTTGAACTGCTAAGGATACATATATATTTGGTGGTTATGTACTGCTGAGGTGGATCTGACTCATAGCAACCCTGTATTGGGTTTCCAAGGCTGCATATCTTTATAGGAGTAGAAAGCCTCATTTTTCTCCTGCTGGTGAAAATGGCTGGTGAATTCAAACTGCTGACCTTTCAGTTAGCAGCCCACTCAGTAACCCAGGAGTGCTGATATGGCACTGCAGGATAATATACTGGACCTCAAGGTTGGTTTGAACTGCAAGGTCAATAGTTCAAATCCACCAGCTGCTTCTGGGAAACTTTATAAAGAGTTGCTATCAATTGGAATCGACTTGATGGCACTTAGCAACAACAATATATGGACTGCTGGTGTGGCGCTATAGGATCAGCACTGGACTGTAAACCACAAGGTCAAACTGTTGCTTGTCAGAAACTCTATACAGGGTAGCGATGAGTTGTTATCAACTCGACGACATTTAACAACAACAATATATATATAAATATACAAGTGTGTGTCACAACTCCATGATACGGTCTGTGAAATAGGATGTTAGGCGATGCGATTTGGTTGTTGTGTGAACATCATAAAACTTTATGAGAGGCTGCTTCCAGTTATACTTCTCATCACTGCTGCTGAGGCAGCCACTGGTCTGGCTCCTGGGTTGCTGGCAGAGCCTAGAGAAATGGTTGGAGTGGATCTAGAGGAAGCAAGCAAGGAGGGAGTGGAGTGTGCCCACTCTTGCCCACTAGTCTACCTACCTGAGCAACAGGAGCAGCCACCACTGCTACCGTCTGCCCACCAAAGTCCAGGAGCCCAAGCCTACAGCCATGTACTCTGCCTCATCTACTTGGGGTCTTTACAAAAATGGTGGGGCGGGGGAGCCTAGAGAGATAGTAAGACAAAGGAGAGCTGCTTTCCCTTAAGAAAAGAAAACAACAAAACAAAACAAACTTTCTTGGACCCTAGACACATCCGCACTTGGAAGGGACATTAAGCTATACATACCCACATATACAGGGTCGCTATGGGTCGGAACTGACTCGACGGCACTTAACAACAACAACAACAACAACCCACATAACAAAAGAACGAAGAACACAGGTATAAAGCAGGTATTGTTTGTTTTAAGAGAGAAATGAATCTTTTATAAGATTTTGTAATTCAAACTAGGGGGAAAATCTATTCAATTAGTATTATGATAAAAATCTACTTCAGTTTTCTAGCAGAAGAGGAAAAGGAAAAAAAAAAAAAAAAAAATTAGGAGGAACGGTATGGCAAGAGACAGAGATAGGCAAAAGCTACATCAAAGGTAAGGCAAAGAAACGGGACCCAGCCTGCTATTCAGTGTTTGCTGAACACAGTAAGGTTTGCTGTTCAAACTTATGCTGCTTGGTAACCAAACTTCATATTCTCTCATTTCTACACATGCCTCACAACAATTATTATGAGTCTTCTTTTTTCCTCATTCCCTCACAACTGCTATTTCATGCTCATAAAATAAATGTGCTTTTTTTGCTATTTTCTTTCTTGAAACTCTCTCTTTCTGAAATGCATCGAACTAACTACTCAAACATTAATTCAAATCAGTCCTAAAACCATAAAGCTCCTAATGCTAAGTCATCTTTAAACTTAAATGCTTATCACATAAATTTACACAATGTTAAAAAGTTTATATTACTATATGTACAAATATCTAATTTTTCCAACTAAAGTATAAATTTCCTAAGCCAGAGAGTTAAATTATATCCGTGCTTCTTTATAAGTTCCTCAGCTCCTAGCTTTGACTTCATAATTTTTCTAAAGACAATTATTTGATAAATTTCGAATCTCTCCTTTTATATTTAAAGAAATACAGAGACATAACGTTCTACTCTAAATATAGAATATATTAACTGTATTATGTTTTTGAGTGTGAAGGATTACATGGAATAAATATTACATTTTGAGGATTTTTAGAGTACTGCCACTGAAAAATGTTTATGACTCTACTTATATCTTGATACTTTATAACTGGGTAAGTGACATTAAGCTGGGAAGGAGTTCTTTCTTTCTTTCATGACTATATGCATGAGTATGTTCCAAGTGATTAAAGAGAAAAATGAGGTACAAAAGCCACAAAAGCAAGAACTACACAAGTCTGATTTTGAATGTTGAATCTATCTTTTTTGCTTTCTCAACTAAATAATGAATAACTCTGGTATTTTATCTAAGTAACCAATAAAAACAAACCTGTATAAAAGTTTAATCTATTTGTGCTTTCTTTTTTTTAAAAAAAAAACAAAAAACATTTTGTCTCAAGTTTTATTTCAGGTTTTGGTGTAAATATGGTGTGTTATAATATTTTATTTGATTTATTAACTTATTTAAAGAGCTCTGATTTGCATAGTGGTTACGAGTTGGGCTGCTAACCTCAAAGTCAGCAGTTTGAAACTACCAGCTGTTCCACACAAGAAAGATGAGGCTTTCTGCTCCCATAAAGATTTACAGCCTTGGAAACCCTATGCAGGGTTGCTATGAGTTGGAACCAACTCGATGGCACACCACCATCACCATTAATTTATTTAACCTATTTTGAAACTATAGTTGGTCTAACAACTTTCTCAACCACATTAGCATTACTTAACAAAAACTGTAGTTATGGCGTTTTAGCAAATGATTTTTTTCTATATGCTACATACAAAAAGCAGGAGCTCTGGTAGCATAGTGGTTACGAATGGGGCAGCTAACCTCAGGGTTAGCAGTTCGAAACTACCAGCTGTTCCATGGGAGAAAGACTAGGTTTTCTGCTCCCATAAAGATTTACAGCCTTGGAAACCCAGTACATTGTTGCTATGAGTTGGAACGGACTCCACAGCACATAACAACAAAAACATACAAAAAGGTCAAGTGTCTTGTCTAGATCAGTCATCAGGCCATTAGTTCCTGAGGATTTCCTTCTTACCTTTCTTTAACTTGTTAAGTGCAGCCGAGCAGTTACCACATTTTTCCTGTGTTCAGGTATGTCTCTAATTTGTGCAGTGCAATTAATGACTCTTCTATCTATAGTCCTTTTAACTCCTACCAAAAAACTTCTGGTAATAAAAGTGGGATAAGATATTGATAAAATTATATGATTTAGCTCAGTGGTTAACAGACTTCACTACGATTGCAAATGTGTATAAAATGAGCCATCTCAGATGCAGGAATGGGAGGAATCATCTCACACCATCAAATGAGAAGTCAGGAGTGGAATGTCTTTGACTCAAGAACAGAAAGCTGTGACACCAAAGGAGTGACAGAGGAGCAGCAGAACCAAGAACCAGAGCATGAAACAGAGTAATGGGCTTCCCAGTCCAGGGAGAAAGTAAAGCTGAGTGACCTAGAGCAGTAAGCTTGCTTGCAGAGTGGGGTACCTCCAAACATTTAATTTGGGGAACTAGGTTTGCTGATCCACAGAGCTAGAGCCAAATGCCTTCAGGTTAAGGCTTGTGGTGATGAAGTCTGCCCTGTGGGCATTTCTATTATTGTTAAGTGAGTGCCATAAAGTTGGTTCTGATTCATAGCAACCCTCTATAGGATTTCTGAGGAGCAGCTGGTGAGTTTGAAATGTTGACCTTGCAGTTCAAACCAACCTTGCGGTCCAGTGCTTATCCTACAGCGCTACACCAAGACTCCAACTGCTATTGTTGGAGTGCCATTGAGTTGGTTCTGACTCAAAGCGAGTTGGTTACAACTCAAAGCGACGCTGTATTAAAAAAGCCCTAAAAGAGCTTTGTAACATTGTCTGGGCAGAGAGAGGCCTGCCTTTGGACACAGCTAAGAAAGGGAAGCTATCCTGACTGGAAGAACTATTGTCAAGGATTTCATTTTACTTGAATCCACAATCAATACTCATGGAAGCAGCAAAATATCAAATGACATACTGCACTGGCAAATTTGCTGCAAAAGACGTCTTTAAAGTGTTAAAAAACAAAGATGTCGCTTTGAGAACTACAGTGCACCTGACCCAACTCTTAGGATTTTCAATCACCTCACATGCATGTGAAAACTGGACAATGAATAAGACCAGAGAAGAATCGATGCATCTGAACTATGGTGTTAGTGAAGATACTGAATACACCATGGACTACCAGAAGAACAAAAATGTATGTCTCACACAAAGTCCAGCCAAAATGCTCCTGGGAAGCAAGGACTGCAAGATAACCATCTCACTTTGGACATGATGATAGGGAGGGCAAGTCCCTGTAGAAGGGCATCATGGTTGCTTACACTGAGGGTCAGTGAAAAAGAGGAAGACCCTCAATGAGATGAACTGACAGTGTGGCTGCAACAATGGGCTCAAACATAGTAATGACTTTGAGAATGGTGCAGGGCTGGGTAACGTTTTGTCACACGGGGTCTCTATAACTCAGAACCAACTTGACCACACCACCTAACAACAACAAAGACTCAAGATTTATGAGGGTCCCATCACTTTTATTCTCTTAATAAAACTGCTTTACAAAAAACACACTATTTCAGTTTCTGTTCATTTGATAATCTAACTTTGAAGGTATACATGTAAAAAAATTTACCACATCTTAAAGGGCTACTTGGAATCCAAGTGTAGCACTATAGGATAAGTACTGGACTGCTAACCTAAAGGTTGGTAGTTCAAACCTATAAGCCACTCCTTAGGAACCTTGTGCAGGGTCACTATGAGTTGGAACCAACTCAATGGCACTTAACAACAACAGCAACAAAATAGGTCTATCTGTTTAGGGTTGATGTTTCACTGTCTTGGACTTCTGGTGTGGTGCTGTAGGATCAGCACTGGACTGCAAACCACAAGTTCAGCAGTTCAAACCCACCAGCTGCTCTTCAGAAACCTTACACAGGTGTCATTATGAATCGGAACCGAATCGACAGCACTTAATAATGACAGCATCACTGTCTTAAACATATTGTATCTAGTTTCAGAAAGACAATTTCTTAAAATTTAAAAGCAAAAGTTCAATAACGTACAAAATGTATTACACAGTAATTTTACTTTATAGAAATGAATGAAACTATTGTATTCACATTAATTATAACATTTTTCACTTCTTTATGAATTTCTCTAAGATGGTAATTTAAAAAAAAGAACTCCGCAGTCATGGAATTGATTCCAACTCATAGTGAACCTACAGGCAGAGGAGAACTCCTCTACAGAAGCAGAATGCCATACCTTCCTCCCATAGAGCACATGATGGGTTCAAGCACCAACCTTTCATTTTGCAACAAAGCACTTTAACCACTGCACCGCCAGGATGTCTCAAAAACTGGCCATAAAACAACAACAACAACCAAACCCAACCCACTGCTACTGCATTAATTCCAACTCATAGATACTGAATACTGAATCTTTATGGTAACAGATAACCTCATCTTTCTCCCTTGGAGCCACAGGTAAGTTTGAATCACTGAGCTTGTGGCTAGCAGTCCGCTATTTACTCTACAGAGCCAACAGAGCTCCATAATACCCCAAAATAAGTTTTTTTCTATTAACTTTGCAAATGTTTGCCTGTATCTTTCTAAAACCCAGGATATCCTATAAATTCTTCACAGGCAAATAAGATAGTAAAAATCAATTCTTCAGTACAATATTCATAGCAAGAAATGATTGTTACAACACAAATCTTAAAATGCAATAAAAGATGTCTTAAAGTTAAATTTAACATGAATGAAAACCGCCAGGAAAAAAAGAAAACAAAACCCAAGAAAAATGAGAAAGTCAATAGGAAAGAAACACAGGGTTAAGAATACTGAAAAACTTAAGCTACAAGGGTTCAACGTATTCCAGGTACTCTGGTATGTTTTCTGGTTGTGATGACATGTCTATACTTCATCAAATCCTGTGGCCAGCTAGATAGTACATAACTGACATTTAAGATTTCTAGTTGTCTATACAGTTAGAATATAATGGTTCAGGTCCAGTCACTGAAGGACTCTAGCACCATAATCTGATCTTCCTGTTTCTCACTGTGATTAGTAAGTCATCACAGTTATAACATTTACTTCCAGTCCTTTGCTATCAAGTCATTCTTTTTGAATTATAAGGTCAATTAAATACTTATAATCAAATATATATTTCATGCTGAAACATAAATCAGTGAATGATATTTCAGAAGTTCAAATGAATTTTACTTTTGAGGCATGGCAAAAATATAATAAAGTTGCTCTAGGCAATTTAAACTTACCATGTAGCCAGCATATAGTCACCATATGGAGAAACCTTAATAGTTATCCAACTATCTCAAATAAGACTACTTTCGTCAACAGATACACTTAAAACTTTTTTTTTCGAGGTTAAGGTATAGAGTTTTATGAAGTATATGAATCAAATCAGTATATTAAACATAACAAAATAATAAGCAAAGAATCTAAAATTGGGGAAGACATAAAATAGATGGGTACTGATGTGGTGTTATAGGATAAGCAATGGACAGCAAGGTCAGTTTGAACTTCAAGACTGGCGGCTCAAACACACCAGCCTCTCCTCAGAAACCCTATGCAGAGTTGCTATGAGTTGTTCTTGACTTGACAGCACTTAGCAACTTAACAACAACAAAACTTAATGCACAGTTGCTAGAGAGTCACTTAACATTTAAATCAAAATGATAGGATCAATACTCAAGATAATACTAGATATATGGACCATCACAAACTGATATATGAAATAAGAAAATAAGCACATGTATCTATTCTTTTTTGGACATATTGTCCGGAGGAAACAGTCACTCGAGAAGGATGTCATGCTGGGTAAGGTGGAGGGTCAGAGAAAAAGAGGAAGACCCCTAACGAGATGGATCAGCCAGGTGGCATCATTGATGGACTCAAGTGTGGCAGCGGTAGTGAGGTTGGCCCAGGATCGGACATTGTTTCGTTCTGTTGTGCATGGGGTTGCTATGAGTCGGTTCCGACTCGATGGCACCTGACAACAACAATCTATTCTTTAAGGTACCAGATCAACTTACCAGAAACTTTTTGTATTACTTCATTAACTTCCTTCATGAACACTTTCTGTACAAATACCAAGTGGTTAAGAAGATCAGTTGTCAGATTATGCTCAAAGGAACCAACCTACCAAACAAAATCAGAGTTTTAGATTAACATTATTGACTATACATTAAATTTAAACACAACTCTTTCAAACATAAGCTATCCCAAACACTAATTAATGAAAAAGAATGATCTACACAGTAACTGAAATTGAGATCTTGAAGGAGGGTTAAAAATATTTACTTTCCCTAAGATTGAAATTGTCAAGGACTTCATTCTTCATGGATCAACTATCAACACTCACGGAAGCAGCAGTCAAGAAATCAAACGAAGTATTGCATTAGGCAAATCTGTAAGATAAGCATCGGACTGCCAACCACAAGGTCAGCAGTTCATTCCTACCAGCTGCTCCTCAAAAGAAAAATGAGGCTTTCTGCTCCTATAAAGATTTAAAACCTTGAAAACCCTATACAGAGTCACTATGAGTTGGAACCGACTCATAGGCACTTAACAACAATAACAACAACAAAGTTCGAAGACTTCTAAATTACAAAAGGCAAGAAAATTAAAAAGCAAACTTACTTCGGCCACACAACGTAGATAATTTCCTTGTAAATAGTACCCTTGTTTAGAGGGAAGTTCATCTATACTCCACACCTGATCTGAATAACTATCATGTTCTTCCATTATGTATTTCCCGGACATAGTAACAGGAGGAAGGTTAAGACTGGCAGAAGGAGGTATGGTTGACATATCTGTCGCAGACACTTTTGAAGTAAAACGCAGTCGGTGATTTGGCAACTCAAATGTGAACCTTGTCTGTGCACCTGGAAGAAGTAAGAGAAAATTAGTTTGTTCTTTTGTTTATTCACTCATTCTATTCAGAATATATTTGTTCCAAAAAGTTGTCTAAGAAAAATAGATATCTCACAGTCTAACTTAGAAAAAACTGAAGATATTTTTAATTTGTTTATAAGATATTTCATATCTATAAGTCCTGGTGTGGCACTGTAATAAAAGTACTAGACTATTAATTGCAATGTTGGCCATTCAAAAATGAGGCTTTCTGTTCCCACAAAGATTTACAGACTAAGAAATCCTGCAAGGGTTGGTATAAGTTGGAATTGACTCAATGGCCATGAGTTTTAAAATAAATTTAGTAAAGAGTGTATATATATATATATACACATGGTGGTGGCGGCTGTGTGCCATGGAGTCGATTCTGACTCATATCGACTCTGTACAGGGTTTCCGAGGCTGTAAATCTTTACGGGAGCTGAACGCCTCATCTTTCTCCTGCGGAACAGCTGGTAGTTTCAAACTGCTGACCTTGCGGTTCACAGCCTGATTCGTAACCACTACGCTACCAGAGCTCCATATATATAAAATATATATAAATGAGGGGGCTTCAAAGAGTTCATGGAAAATTGGAATTAAAAGATAATGGAACTTTTCCATGAATTTTTTGAAGTCTCCTCTTATATCTATATCTATCTATCTATCTATCTATCTATCTATCTATCTATCTATCTATCTATCTATCTAACCTCCCACTGGTTCCAAAGGCGTTATCATTATGTGAAAATGGAGGATTCTTCTCTCTTCTGTTTTCAGACAGCTTGCTTTTTTTTTTTTTTTTAAACATAGAAAATATTATCATAGAAACGGTAACAGCTAAGATATGCTGCTGTGCTCTTCACTGACTACTCTAGTTATGGGCTCTTCCTTTGCAGAGAAGTAAAGCTGGAGAAGACCAACCTGGAGAAAGCTGAGCTGTGTGACTGGAGGGCCCAGGGGCTTAACCACTTCATCTTCCTCGAGTGCTGGGTCAGAGCTACCCTCCTGGAGCTACCTCCAGGGCTCCATCCCTGCAAGCCCTGTTTCACTATCCTGGAGCTTACTCTATACTCTCTGGGCCTAGAAAGTCACTGAGGGTTGGGGTTTCAGTGAGGAAGCTGGGCTACATACCCAGCCCCCTCAAGACAAAGGCTTCAGGCCCTTTGTCTGAAGTTTAATTCACTTTAGGATGTCATTACAACACACACACTTTTTATTCTGCAAGCATTTCTTCCAAACATACACCTGATGCCTCTTTTCTCCCTTCCCACACAACAGCAATTTTAAGCTGCAGAGCCTCAAGCCACATAGAAGTTCAAAACCCAGAACAACAAGTGAGCTGGCAAGGACTGGGTACTGCCTGAACATCAACCTGAAGGCCTTGGACATGGAGGTCAGTTGAGTGCAGAAACTGGATGTGACACCCCACCAACATGCCACCAGCAGGACAGAGCAGCAAACAAGAGGAAGTGGAGGACATGGGGCAGCACAACTCAGCTTCCTGGAGGCTACCTGAAGACTCTCCTCAAGGGAGGTGATATTCTGCAGCTTTTGCCACTAGACCTGACTCCTGGTTAATATGCAAAATAGTTGGCTATATTATTACTATTGTCATGAATATGAAATATCACGAGAAGATATTCAATAAGTGAGGTGTAAGCATTTTTCTTAATGTTTTATTGTGAATTATATAATAGTTTACATGAGAGAACTTTAGTTTTACATTCATTCCATTGTATATCATCTCACTGCCATGGTTCCAATCCCCTCCATGCATCCTCAACTACCCAAAGGGTATATCCCAGAAACCCGCCCCATACACTTCCTCCTCCTTCCCCAGTTTTCAGCCCACAGTCCCTTTCCCTCTCTGGGTCCAAAGTCCCCAGTCGCTTCATCACTCCACGTCATCATCTCTGTCTCTATCTCAGGCATCTCTGTTTCTCTGGGTAGGGTCCTGCTCTCAGCTCTTCTCCATTGATGGTCCCAGAGGCCTCCGCTCCTATCCTGGAGAATCAATCATTCCCTTTCTTGTTACAAAACTTCTGCCTTTGCATTTCCAACCCTCGTAATCCGTCCTGATAAGCATTATTCACTACAGTATCACAAGTTACCCATCTGTATCTCCTTTCATCAGCTCCGCCCAGACAGATTGAATAGTACCTTCTGGAGATTCTGCCTTCTGCCATGCTCCCTAGCACCAGGTTCCCTCTTAAAAGCTTGTAAGCCAGTCACTTCTTGCCTTTGTAGTCCCCCCCCCCAATTTGAGTATCCAATGTCCAAGCTGCCCTTCTCCGTCCACTCTGTGTGTGTGTGTGTGTGTGTGTGTGTGAGAATGTTTCTTGCTGTGAGGATTTGTTCCTTCTTTTGAGTTGATGCTCCATAAGTATAGGTCAAGTTCATCAGACCATATCAGTGTACGCATATTTTTTTAAACTACCAATTCCACAGTACACAAAGAAAAAAACTTGTTTCCCAATCCCAACTCAAAGTTGGATAATAGTGCAAATTACAAATAAAATTAAATTTTAATCACTATAAACATAAAGTATAAAATTTATAACACATGTCTCTTTGATATTCACTGCTGTTGTTGTTAGGTGCCATCAAGTCATTTCTGGCTCATACAGACTTAATGCAGAATAGAATGAAACACTGTCTGGCCCTGTGCCTTCCTCACAATTGGTACAGTTGAGCCCACTGCTGCAGCCACTGTACCAGTGCATCTCCTTGGGGGTCTCCCTCTTTTTTGCTGACCTTCCACTTAGCATGATGTCGTTCTCATAGGACTGGTCCCTCTTGATAACATGTCTGAAGGATGAGAGATGAAGTCTCACCATCCGGGCTTCTAAGCAGCATTCTGGCTGTACTTCTTCCAACATAGGTTTGTTTGTGTTCTTCTGGCAGTCCATGGTGCTGTTAGTATACTTCTCCAACACCATAACTCAAATGCATCAATTCTTCTACGGTCTTCCTTATTCAACTTTCAAATGAATATGAGGCTACTGAGCATACCATGGCTTGGGTCAGTCGCACCTTAGTCTTCAAACTGGCGTATTTGCTCTTGAACACTTTAAAGAAGTTTTGTGTAACAGACTTGCCTAATGCAATATTTCATTAGATTTCTTAACTGTTGCTTCCTGAGTTTTGATAGTGGATTCAAGTAAAATGAAGTCTTGGACAACTTCAATATTTTCTCCATTCTTCATGATGTAATTTATTGGTCCAGTAGTCAGGATTTTTGTTTATGTTACATGGAGGTGCAACCCATATTGAAGGTTGTTATCTTTCATCTTAACCAGTAAATATTTTGAGTCCTTTTTGTTTTCATCAAGCAAGGTGGTATCATCTGCATATCACAGGTTGCTAATGAGTCTTCCTCCAATCCTGATGCCATGTTTTTCTTCACACAACCATCTTCATGGATTACTTGCTCAGCATACAAAAAAATTATGCAAAAGAATACAACCCTGGCACACATCTTTCCTGATTTTAAGCCATTCAGTGCATCTTAGTCTATGTACAGGTTCCTCATGAGCACAATGACGTGTGTGGAATACTCATTCTTCACAACTATCCATAGAATGTCATTATCCACACAGTCAAAAGACTTTTCACAGCCAACAAAGTACAAGTAAACATCTTTCTGAAATTCTCTTCTTTAAGAAAAAATATCCATCTGACCTTAGCAATTACATCCCTAGTTCCACATCCTATTCTGAATCTGGTTTGAATTTCTGGTAGTTCTCTGCCAATGTACTATTGCTGCCAATTTTACATTATCTTCAGCAAAATTTTACTTGTGTGTCATATTAGTGATACTATTTGATGATTTCAGTTTCCATTGGGTCACCTCTCTTTGGGATGAGCACAAGTATGAATCTCTTCCAATTGATTGTCCAGATAACAGATGAGTAAGCACCTGCAGTGCTGCATCTGTTTGTTATAAGATTTCAATGTGTATTCTATCAATTCCTGAAGCCTTGTTTTTCACCAATGCCTTTAGTACAGCTTGGATTTCTTCCTTCAGTACCACTGTTACTTTCACCTTTCTTTTTTCTTTTAGTACCATAGTTTCTTGATCATATGCTATATCTTCAAATGGCTGAACATTGACTATTTCTTTTTGGTACAGTGATTTTGTGTATATCTTCCATCTTCTTTTGATGCTTTCTGTTGCATTCAATAAAGCTTTTAGGACCTTCATTTGCTTATGCAATACAACTCAAAAAGAGTAGAAACAAGTTGGGAACAAAGAAGGATCAGTATTTATAAAATATATTCTCAGTGATAGAAATAAGGATGAAGAGCACATGACTGAATTTTGCAAGACCAGTGACTTGTTCATTGCAAATACCTTTTTAAAACAACACCAAAGATGACTATACATATGAATCTCACCAGATGGAATACACAGGAATCAAACTGATTAGATCTGTGGAAGAGATAAAGGTGGTGATGGTGGTGTGCCATGGAGTTGGTTCCAACTCATAGTGACCCTGTATATGGTTTCCGAGGCTGTAAATCTTTACGAGAGCAGAAAGCCTCATCTTTGGCCCACAGAACTACTGACCTTGAGGTTAACAGCCCGACTCAAAACCACTATGCTACCAGAGCTCCTTGGGAAGAGATAGAACACTCAATATATCACCCACAACAAAGTCAGGTGTAGATGTGGAACAGACCATCAATGAATTGCTCATGTGCAAGTTCAGTCTGAAGGTGAAGAAAATGAAAACAAGTTCACAAGAGCCAAAATATGACCTTGAACCTATCCTATCTGAATTTAGACACCATTTCAAGAGCAGATTTGATACATTAGACTCTACTGACTAAAGACAATAAGACCTATGGAATGACATCAAGAACATCATACAGAAAGAAAGCAAAAGATCATTTAAAAAAGAAACAAAAGACCAAATGGATGTCGAAGAAACTCTGAAATTTGCTTTCCATGATCGAGATGCTAAAGTGAATGGAAGAAATGAGGAAG